ACTCCTGGCTAGTTTAACGCCAGCTGTACAGCACAATAACATACCCACTCCTACCTCTTGAAGTGTGGTCTCTGTGCGCCTGATATGTCTGATAAAGCTTCGACGACTTGTACCACTTTCACAGGTGAATACCCAGCCAAGAGAGCACAAAAGAAAGCTCCTCAAGTAAGGTTGTGCAGAGCAGCCGTTTGTGACCAAGACATTCAAAGAGTCAATACCATTGAAAGTAGAGCAGTAAAGGATTGGCCCTTGAACCCCGTATTCCTTCTAAATGTTAAAATGCTGCTAAAGGTCACAGAAGGCCAGAGAATCTTTGCAGTTTTCCACAGAGACAAAAAGGGAGATAGAGGAGGAGAAGCATAGAAAAACAAGAAAGAAAACTAGAAAGGCTGGCAGAAACAGGATAAAAGATATATGTGTAGATAAAGATGACTTTGACTTTTAACTTGCTTTATTAGGGGTGGTGATGGTGCAGTGGATAAGACATGTGCCTTTGGTGTGAGAGACCCATCCACCAATGTGTCCCTGAGCAAGACACTTAATCCCTAGTTGCTCAAGAGGCGTGCAACCTCTGACATGTACAGCAATTGTAAGTCGCTTTGGATAGAAAATGTTTTGTAATGTATTAAAATTTGTCCACCAGAGGAAAACTCATAAAACTATGTCCAAGGCACTCCTCTACACACTTGATGGAATCAAGCCCTCGCTTAGAATATATTGAATCTAGTTATACCAATAGAGGAAAAATATAAGGTGAAATAGTGAGAAAGCACATAAAAAGGAGGTAAAGAAAGTAGAGGGTAAGGAAACAAGCTGATGGAACCTAAAAGATAAAAGATGGAGGATGGAGAGTGAGCGAGAAAGAGAAAGTAGGGCACAGGCGGGAGGAAACGGCACACTGGTGTTCTTTAAAGTTGAGCCATCACAACCACTAAATCCCCAAAGCTGCCTGCGAGGACTCATCCTGCCTCATCCCTTGGTACCGTCGCACCTTTCAGAGCTTCACTCCACACCTCCTTATCCATCTGTCTGGTCCCCCTGCTCTCTTTCACTAAGTTGTCTCCTCTTCAGCGCACAGCCTCTCCGCTTGCCCTTCTTTTTTTTTTCCCCCTCTCCGAGCTGTGTGGTGGCAGAAGAAGGTAGCGTTGCATTCATTTATTAATTTCCTAACCTCGTCCCATACTCTAGAGGCTGCAGTCTGCCCTCTGTTCTCTCATTCTTTCTTTTGTCTCCCTGTAGACGGACTGTCCCCTGTCAGTTTCAGTGGTTCATATGTTTGTGGGTCTTCTTCTGTTTAAGTCTCTATGTTCAAACTCTTTGTCTCTGTCTAACAATGCTGATACACATACACATTTTACTTCTTTGCAGTTTCCATGCTTCCTTGCACTGAATGGAAAATATGAATCAACAGCAACAGGAATGCCATTCACAAACTAAAGGTTATCCATCACCTCGGTGCTGTACTAATTCATGGCAGTGTTCATATAATAGTTTCACTGCAGTTTCATATAAAGAACAATTGCTCATCTTGCAAAGTAATTCTACAGCTGCAATAACTGCGTTTTTACCACTTGGGGGACGTGGAAACAACCTGTGAACATATGGCATATTTCACTTTTTAAGCTGATATAGCAAAGCTTTTAAGCTGAAAGCAGCTGCAAAAAGACACTATGAGCAGTGAGAGAGAACTAAAACAGTAAAGTTACAGGCAGCGAAACCAAAACAATGAGCAGGAAGATGGTATAAAACTGCATAGAGCTAAGGAGAGCTTTAGAGTCTGATGATTCTTCTCTGTGGGTTTGCCCTTGTGAGTCATGTGATCCATTGCTAATATAAAAATATGTATTACATCTCATTTTAACTAAAGCAAACATTTTGTAATTCAGTGCTGAATCCTGTTTGTCTGACTGAATAAACTACTGAAGGTGAGATCTTATGTACATTTTTGGCTAATTAATGGTGTATTATGGTTAATAACTTAATACAAAACATTATATTTGTATTTCTTCAAATTAAACTTAACTTTTGTTGAGTAATAGTCCCTTTTGATAGTTTCTATCAAAAAAGTGTGAATCCATACAGCTGCATCGCTTAAAAAAGCAAATTTGTGCTTAGTCAGCCCATCAATGATGAGACAAAAGATCTGAATAGACTGGGATGCATCGTGACTTGAAGCTGATGCTTAGCCAGGATGACAAAGCAACATCCAGTGTTGCACACACAATAGTACGATGCAAGTAGACATTCTCTATATCATAAGACAACAAAATGTGTGTTAACTGTTGCAACATACTTTCACAACATCACAGCGATGGCTGAGGTTCAGTACAGTGTGTAGTTTGATTAAAAAAGATTTTTTTCCAGATCTGAGATTGTGAGGTTTAGTTGCACAAAGTACATAAATGCATGTTTATTACATAGTGAAGTGACATCAAAGCAGTAAAAGACATCATGTGAAACTAAACTAAAAACATGGCTATAGACTTCAGGGAAACTCCCCACTCAACCTCTCCAACAATAATCAATGCCTCACCTATTGAGACAGTGGAGTGTTACAAGTACGTAGGAACAAAAACTTGAACTTTGACCTTAACACTTCTGCGGTCTACAAGAAGGGTCATCAGAGGCTTCGTTTTCTGCGAAGATTGAATACCTTTAATTTGGACAAAACTTTAATGACTCTTTTATAAATCTATGACCACCCTCTTTTGGAGGAATTTGTTCTTCTCCCTCTGGGCAAAGATACAGATTCCCAAGAGGAACAGATAAATTTGCACTGAGCTTTGTTCATGTCTCATGTATGTTTGTTTTAACGCTATTGCAAATCAAATTTCCCCTGGTATGACAATACAGACTGAATTTAATTTGATTTGAACTGATTTGAATTGAATTGATCATCTTTATTGTTGTATACCTTCGGGGACTCAGTCTTACTTCCGCATAAACGGCCTTAAAAGTATGAAATTGTTTAGGATGAAAGTATGACAAATTTAGGAATGGATCTATCACCTATTTCAGAGCGGGAACAACAGTAGCTAAGGCAGCACACTGTAAGGTTTACTCTCAGTCTGCAGTTTGTTACTGCTCATATGTGATTAAAGCCTCTACCTGAAAGTAAACAACACAATTTCACAGCATTTTCACAGCCACATTTTTGTCAGGAAATGAGTCTTCTATGCTCCTCCATGGTTTAACTTGTAGTTAAGTGTTATATATTGCTCAAATTGTTTTGAATTACTCCAACAAACACGACTGACACACAAACACAATCTTCATCAGTCAGTGTGGGTAACAAGCACATGCTCTTTGTCAACTTACTGCTGGAAAAAAAGGTATAATCTGTTTATGATTCACTGATTTCAAGACATTCTGTTTTCCTTGCTTTCATAACTGAATAAAAAACTTGTTTTTAAAATACTACATGTGCAATGAGGCCCACATTGAAAATGTGTGTTAGCTGCGGGATCAATTAGCTCTGAGCTTTTCTTTCATGTGTCACTTTGTTGGTTATATACACATTTGTTATTTACATCCTGGACGTGTTCGCTGGCAGTCTTTGCTCTTCAAAAAAGGCTCAGAGTACCACCACATTCAAATAAACATTAGCATTTCAGGTAAGCAAATATTGTGCTAAAACTTGAAATCCATCAAAAAACTGCTTTTATCTTGCAGATAAATAAGTAGAAAATGTGTATTTCATTTGAATTTATGTTTACTTTTGTGAAGTAGCATCTGGGACAGACAACAGACAACAATACAAACTATAGCAACAGTTTTTTACCTTTGTAGAACAATGTAACTCAGACCATCTGCATTTATCCCAACTCCACATTGTAAGAGGGAGGTTTGTAAAACTTACTACATGTTTGCACCATTACTAAACAGACGTTTAGATGACAACATCTCTGAGTCAACGGGGAAGTGAGAATTAAACTGCCACAATCAGTCTTGTCACTACTGCATTGCACATAAACTGTTAACAAATGTTAAGGACTGCTCTTCATTTATAGGGTGGGGGATCATCAAAAAACCTTTAAGCACTGGGAGGGACTTGTGTTTTTATTGTGGCAAGAGTGGAGAACCTTACAACTTTTAAATGGTTGCATTTTTTATTTATTTTATATACATATTTTCTTTTCAAAATACTAAACTCTTCCACACCTACCTAAACCTCATTGAACCTCAGTGTGGCTGGATGATCCGTCACAGAATTCTTAAACACCCCATTTACACCTGGTATTAAAATGTGATCGGTATTACAGATCTGTAAAGTCATCTTCATAATAAACGATCCAATCTTGTCTTTGTGTTTACACCTGGTATTTTAACGCATTCTTTTTATCCTCTTTGAGATCAGATCGCTGTCCTCCAGAGCAAAACCTGCGCGTGAGTAATTTGAGTTGGTAAATTTACCCCAGACTCCCTTAAAAAAATCACATAGTTTTGTGAGTTGTTGAGTTAGGGGAAACTTTATTAAAAAGCCTACATTAGGTTATTCCTTTCTTTGTATAAAAAATATTGTGTCAATTTGTCCTAGTGTGTTGCAGTACCGGCGTGTAAGCTCCTCAGTCAATAGATATATGCCTTTTAACAGCAGATCAGTTGCATTTTGCTTGCTTTTGTTTGTGTTGGTGATAATTCTCACTCCCTCCGTTCTGTTTACTGGTCAGCATCTTATTTTTGTTTCAGACCTGGATAACGGTTGGAAAATGTCAGTCTTTACCTTTTATTTTCACCAGTACTAGCTAGTTTTTGTGTGAATAATAAAAAATATGGTTATTTAAGGTGTAGGGAGGGTCGTGCATTGTCCCTCAGTCACTCAGGGAGAATCAAGGAAAAATATTTGTAACTCCGAGGAGGGTCAAGATAAAAAACTAAACGAAGTCACCCCATAGCCACCCCACTAGCAACCACCACCCCAATAAACAACAAACAGCCCCATACTGTATAGCACTTTAATACATGTTGCATGCTTATGATTGAGTGTTTGAAATGCTTACTGAAAGCTGCCACCGCCAGTATGAGTGTGACCACGATGGAAACCCAGGAGACCCAGAGTGCCTTCTTCCTGTAGCTCTGAGCCTCGTGGGGCTTCAGACGCATGCTGCTCTCGAGGAGACCTGCAGTGAGACACACAAACACTGTTACAAGGACAATTCCGCCTTTCTTCTTGTGACGTTCGTTTTATTTCACGTTTTATCGTGTGACCATTTCAGCCCTTTTCAAACACTTACTGTAGACAGGAAAAAGATTCTCTTAAATCTTGAATAATGAGTACTTGGTTCACTGAAACATAAAAGTACAAGCTTGTGAACTCATCTAGGAGGCCCACAAGGCATTGCTGGAAGAAACACTGAGCTAAACATTCTGTTGCTGAACAATTAATCGTTTTCAAATCGAAATTCCTTGTGTGACAGACCTGCTCATCAATCACGAGTGCCATGCTCCTCCTGTTAGGGTCCTACTCACCAATCACAGCGGACACAGGACATATAGTACATTACAAACAAAACTAGAGGATAACGCGGGATAATGGTGCCAGCTGAACCGACTCAGGCCCCATCCACACTACTGCGTTTTCGAATTAAAAAGACCGTTTGCTACGTTTGCACCTCCCGTCCAGACTACAACGATGAAAACGAAGCCTTAAAACGGAGAAGTTTGGAAACGCTGCCGACCCCGTTTTGCGTTTCAAAACTCCGGAGGGCGTTTTAGTGAAGACGGGCCAAAACGGAGAACTTTAGAAACGATGACGCTACTGCTCACGCTTGGCTCTCTGATTGGGTCTTGCAAAGCAGAAACACGATGCTGCTGACTGGGTTTCTGACATCATTAAAATATTCTGTACCGTGCGAATAACACTCATCTGCCTGCACTTGTACTGCGCATGTCGCTGTTTACTTTGCAACAACTCCCAGTCTGTTTTCCGCCGCCACACTCCCGTGTTACATTCACTAACAGTCCCAGCTCATTATTGATCCACGCGACAACAAAAAAACTGGTCTAATGCTTCCTCTGTGTTTATTTATTCTTCGCCAAATCTTCTGTAAATACGGAATAGACCATCTGCTTCATGTTTACACTGGCACCCGAACGGGTCCTAGCTGTGCGTTTTCAGTCGTTTTGATGTGGACGGAGATCAACTCCAAAACGCAGCAGAAACGCTGGTGTGGACGGAGATCGTATTCGTTTTAAACTAAAACGGAGTAGTGTGGATTTCGCCTCAGGCAGTAGCTGTGCCGCGGTTTTGTCCGGTCAACTCACACTGAAGTGTTTGAGCAGTGGAGCGTTTAGCCTGCACGTTGTGAATGTGTTGTTAATTTGTCATTTTGTGTGCTTCAACTACGGATAACGGCTCTCTGTGAACCTTTTCCATTCCGCTCTCTGCAGGCTAACGTTACATATCCACATGGAGCATTTCAGAATAAGAGCGTTTTACCTGTCTGATTTTGCTGATTTGTTCAGATTTTGCTTATTTGTCTGTTTTAACTGTGTTAATTATTGATGTACGGTCTGGAGTCAGCAACGGGCGTTTTATTTTGAAAATCGGCCGGATTCTCTATGCCGTTCTGTGTCTGACGTCCTGCCTGGTTCATCTGCTCTGTGCTGCGTGAATATTGAACTTTAGCAAATCCCAAATCGAATCTTAAGCGCAGTACCTGGCAAATTGCAATTAGATTTTCCCCCCCAAATTGTTCAGCCCTATGCTAAACATAGTTTAAATTCGGCATTTTGGCATTCAATTCAAAATTTGGATCAGTAATTACATTTGGGATTTTGGATCAATGCCAGAAGAATGGTGTGTTGCTTTTATCATGAATAATGTGTTCAATGTGCAAGACTAGCCTGTGGGCATAATGGTGTTTCGAAATGACAGAAAGGGAGTCAGAGGTCAGGCTCTGCTCAGTACATGCTCCATTCATAGAAATGTTTTGTTGTTGTACCAGGTATAATCAATCCAATTCAAGAGGCTCAAGAGACCTATCAGTGAGCTTCAGTTTCTGCTTTTAGCATAAATGGAGCCGTTTCTCCCACCTTCTATGCATCCATCCTGTTAGATAATCCTCCACACCTAATGCCAGGGGACCCTTATTATACTGCAGATTACAGGTCATGAGTGAAGGCTCAGGGGCCGCTTGTCACGCTTAACTGTCTTTGCTGACCTTCACAGATTTAAACACAACTCCAAGAGCCTCCACAGTACACCTGTGTCACTCCACCACGCTGAGCACTCACGTCTACAGACCGTAACCAATCACAGTATCTCACGTTCACAGAATAAATCAACAAAAATCAGTCTTTTGTCACGTGTGATCGTGAGAACAAGAAAAGTCTGCTGTTGTTAACCAACCTTTATAGCTTTTTAAGGTACAGTTTCCTTCTAAGGGACTAAACAGAGAAGGTGTTAAAGCAGAACACTCAGTATAACATCCCACATACATTTCCTAGTGGCTCGCATGCCTGTTTCTTTGTGAGAAGTCTTTGCCTGAAGTCACAGACACAACAGCCCTGATTCTGAACTGCCTGAAGCGGTTCGATTGTCATGAAGCGTGAGGCTGGCTCTGCAGAGTCATGAAATATTTATAAGCCTTAACTTTTACCATCCAAAAGAGCTTTCAGTGCTATCAGTTATCATACTATCCAGAAATTTGTCTCAGGGACCATATAGCCAATCACCTGTGAACTGCGCTGAGAGACAGAGGCTGTTTCCTTTTTCAGACTCCAAGTCTGGCCACAGGCAAATAATGGGAACAAATTAAGGGAAAACAAGGCTCTTTTAATCATTTAACCTACTGAAATGCTGTAGAAAAATCTATTCAGTAATCATATTAGGAAGTTACTTGAATAAGAAAAAAATAGAATACTGACTATGTGTACTCAAAGGGAAAATAACCAAAAGGGTTTGTCTTTGTTTTGCCCGGTTCTATTTTTTAAGGCTTTTATATATAAAAAGGAATTTATATGCTTTTATTTTTGAATGGAATTTATACCAAGAACAACAATGTTGGATCATTATTAGCCTAGGTTATGACAAAATCAACTGTTTTTAAACATTTGGCACAAGTTAACTTTGCGATCAACCACCTGACACAGGACAACTAAGCCTACAAAACATATTTAGAAACAATATGACATGACTTACAGAAAAACACACACAAAACAGTCACTAAATGACAACATGATTGGGTGCCAAGACGACTGTGCATGTGTGTGTTTGCATCAAAGAGGGAGTAATAGTAAAAAGCCTTTTATACTCAAAACAACTGAACCAATTTTCAAAATAAACCATTTTAAGACTTAAAGGAGAGCTACGGTGTTTTAGTGTTGCACATGTATAAATTTGGGGGAGCTGTAAAAGACTACAAGAGTGGGAGGAATCAGTGCAGCAGAGGATGAGATACGCTTACTTTTAGTCCCTATGGGCTGCGCTCCAAAAATCCCTGATACCATGTTTCCCAAAACTGCAACCAATGGCATCCTTTCGTGAAGCCCTTCCTTTATGGTGAACAGCTACGTATTTTAAACTCCACACGTTCTGTTAGGAGTCTTTAAGCTAAAGATGAGATGAGCTAAGAGACTTTACAGACTTCTCAGACTTGACAAAGAAAAATATATTATATACTGACTTGAGAACTGACCTTTATGAGTAAAATCAGTGGAGTTTGGAAATACAACATAGTTTATTTTGTACACTCAACATTTGTGCCCTCAATCATACGATCTTGTATCCCATGTGACGAAAATGTACCTTTAATCAATACTCACACTAAATTTGTCGCCTTTATTTGATTTAATTGTCTTTTGTTTGTTTTTTTGTCTTTACATTTCTTCCCATTTTTCTCACAATGTGGGACGACCAGTTCAACCTACATGCAGCTCTTTGCTCTTGTTAACTCCCAGTGTTTGTCTGGTGTGGGTGTAGACAGAAGGAGACAGAGCATCCAGAGGGAGTTTGTGCTGCTACTAGGACACGATCCCTCACCAGCTTCCAACTGTTTTTGATGGACTGCCAGACCCTTGCACTTCAAGCAATGTAGTACTGCAACTGACTTTAGTTTCGTTCTGGCAATTTTTATGTATCCGGTCACAAAACTTGAATGAACCTGTTATGATGCATCCTGTGAAAAATATAGTTGTTGATACTAAAATGTACAGCTCATTTACATCTGTGTTTCTATGGGAGGTCAGTCTAAAAAGGTCAACTTGACATCTTCAGTATGCTGTATATTTACATCCAGAATTTATTACATTTAGTGTTATTCTCATTTTGAGTCATGTTATGGTAAAAACCCATTCACCCTTTGATTTTCACCATCTAGCTGAAATCACTTATACCTTTTTTAAATGTTGGTAAACCCGCTAAAAATAGGAAATTGACTCATTTCACATTACCAGTAGACGAGTTTGCCTTTTCAGTTTTTTTCTGATGTGTGAAAATAAGGTGTAGCCGCGGTCTGGTTGCTGTTTAACAGCATCACCCGCGGCAGGTCGACAGGTGTGTTTACGGTGTTTGTGTGCCCTTAAAAGACATCACAGTGCGGATATAAATTCACAGCTGACGGACTGTAGCCTAATACTACATAAACATATGGATGAGACGTTTATAGACATCACGCTGAAGACAAAAGCCAGATGTTTGTGGGTGTTAGTAGGTTCTTTGGTCCAGTGTGAAACAGAATTTAATCGGGCTGTAGTTGATTTCTTCGAAGATATGAAATAGAAAACCACATGGCTTGTGCTTAAAGGGAGCTGAAAATCATCTGGAAGTCTTCCATCAGGGCCAAGAGCCAGATCACTGTGACGTATATTAAGTCACACTGTGCAACTATGTGTGCGTGTGTGTGTGTGAGCATGCAGACTCATGTAAATGAGTTCCAGTGCGTGTTTATCTGTGTAAATAGCCTTAGAAAAATGTGCATGTGTTTATTTTAAATATGGTGTGTACTGCATGTGTGAGGAAGAGAAAATGTGCCTTATTTCAAACAATAGCAACTAATCATGTTGTGTGATGTACTGTATTTGACATTTGTCCTGATTGTACAACACACATCTTACAAGCTCTGGACTTGCTCTGCTAATAGCTTGCTATGTTGTAGGAGGCAGGTAATTTTCTATGGGTATTAGGAGAGTTTCCAGCCAGGGTTGCTCACGTTGAAGATATCCATCATACTATACAAGATTCATTTTTTATGTATGGCTACACAAACAAAAACTGAGTTCACTAAATTTGACATACAGCATCCAATGGAAGCTACTCAAAAAATGTCCTGCGGTGTCCAAGTTTTATACCTGGATGAAAAACTAAAGGACATATATTTAGCTTTAAACAATTTAGCTAACTAGCTAACCAGCATATGTGTGTGTGGGTGGGTGGCAGAGGGGGGAAGTGAGACAGCAGAGCTTTGCTCACATGATCCCTGGCTGGGGGATCAGACAGAAGGCGTATACACACATCTCTCACGTACAAGTTTGTGTGTGGGGGTGTATGTCTCTCTCTTCACACTTGTCTCTGTTAGACCTTAGTTTTCTAAAAATAATTAACATCAACCATGTAGATCAAAAGGCCGATTACTCACACACACACACACACACACACACACACACACACACACACACACACACAAAAGCTATGTATTACTTTTTAAATAATCTGAAAGCATGCTCCTATTGTCTGTCATCATATCATAACTAGATGGGTAGATGGAAACCGCTGGCCTTGAAAAGCACGATCAGAAGACTGCAGAGGTTTTCTAAAAGCAACGTCAGGGACATTTATGTAAATAGGAGAGAGATGAGAAAAGCAGGGGAGGGAGATGTGAATGTGAGAACATTACCTCACCTGGCAACAGAAGCGAAGTTACACAGTAAGTGATTACATACATTTAAATTGGCACTCGTGATGGTTACTTAGTACTACTTAACAATTGCATAATGACATCTATGGTTTTAGAGGAGCTTACTGCATGCCTGAGAAAATAACCCTTGTGATGTCATTAGGGTTTGTCATGCTTTGGGTTTAGGGCCTACAGCTGTTTGAGAGAAAGTCTGCGTGGCAACCTCAAAGTGTGACGTTGGAAACCATGACCCCTAAACCGTGACCATAAACCAGGCATTCATCACAGTTCAGGTTTTGGAGCTTGAGCCATAGCAGGGACTAAAGTCAGGATATCTCAGCTCTCTGCTGTTGATTTTAGACCACTGAAAAAAAATCTGTCTCACACAAGTTCGCTGACTTTATGGAAGTGCAACGCTATACACTGGATTACCTCTTTATGTGTTCAGTCTTCTTCCTAAGAGCTCAAATCTGCCAACTGACCAGTGTCAATTGTAGGAAGAAGACAGGAACAGTTAAATTAACATCTTTCTTCATTCTGACCTTCTTTTTCAGTTCAGACATCAAAGCTGATGCTGTAGATTGATTCCAGCTCTTAAATAAGCCAAATCCAATAACGTTGCATGTGTAAAACTGAATCGATCAAATGAATGAATGAATGAATGAATGGCTTTAAGGACTAGCAGTGTTTTAAGCTTTGAGTTCATCTTTTGCTTTACTCTAATCTGAATCCTGCTGATGTAGGACTACCATAAATTATTCAAATAAGAGCCAGACTAAAAATACCTCACATGGGTAAAAATACCCCTCCAATCTCCCCAGGGGCACACACACACAAACATGAAACACACACACACGCACACACACAGGCACACGCACATTTCACTTGCATGCATATCCATAACTTTTAGGAACCAAATCCAAGCACCAAACATGCCAGAGATAGATGAAGTTACCTTCTCCCTCCACACTGTCTGTGATTTTCATCTCCTGGCCCGCGGTGAACGTCTCTGACTGGCTGGGGCGTTTGGCTTGCTGGTGATGGTTGTTGGTGAAGCCATCCGGGGCGCACTGGCCGTTCCGCACCGTGGCCGGGCAGGGATCCACAATAGTCGGGTCTGGGACAGGGTAGGACTCTTGGGTCACCGGGTCTGTCATTGTTGCTGCAGTTACTGTTTTGTTTTAAGGCTCAAAGGCAGAGAAGATGATGATGGAAAAACAATTCAGGCCGGTTCGCTAAGTGCAGCAGCCATCCAGCGCGTCCAATATGCCCCCAGTGTCGACTCAGTTGCGCGGGCGGGGGACGGGGTGGGGGAGAAGAGATGGCGATAAGAGAAGATGAGAGATAAAGGATTTATCTCCCCAGCATCAGCAGCGAACCAACTCCTTCAGTGTGAACTCAACACAGCTCTGCAGCCTCAATGTAAATGCCCTGTCCGGCTGAGCCAGTTAGAGACAGTTGGAGAGGGTTAGATGCGGCGATGCGATAAATTGCTGAGATCTGCTGTGGATCTGGCAGGCGGTGCCAGCAAGTTGGGTTTTTTTTCCCCTCCTCCTCTTCCTCCTTCTCTCCTCCTCTCAGATCCCAGCATCTGATTCCCATAGACCACCACATAGAATAATCTATCCTGAATCACTCAAGCATTTTCAAGTTTTTTCTGCAAATTACCTTTGATTTATATGCATGAAACAAAACTTTAACGACACTTAGCGAGCCGTTATCAACATCTAAAGTAAAAAAAGCCATAGGCTATTGTTTTTATGGATTACCCTATTAGCGCCACATGGCTGCTTTATCAGTGTAATGCTTAGCATATTTATCTAATTATAGGCTATGATAATTTGTTTAGTTTACATCTTTCTTGATAGTGAATTTGCCCTCAAATCCCAGATTCGCCGTATTTACCCATGGTTAACAAATTATCCAAACGAATGGAAATCAGATACTGTCGCACATTAATCTTTTTATTACGCGGTCTATAAACAACCCGCCTGAATTCTGTTTTGACGCTCAAGGCGTTCACGAGGCTACAACAATTGGCCACCAGGTGGCGCCAAAACGCAGGCTTATGAGCAGTTGTGGAGACGAACTAATGGAAAAACATTTCAGCAAAATATCAGTCAACTTTTTGACTGATTATTATGTAAGTCAGAGCTTTGCATTTTATTTTAACACACACACACACATACACACACACACACACCCTTACTGTTTTTTAATTTAATTTAATTTATTTGATGAACCATATGAATTGAATTCACAACACACACTCACACACTTACAGCTTTATTTATTTATTTTCTTTTTAATTTTTCTTATAAAAAAAAATCTAACACTCAACACATGTTTTATTTACTTCATTTAATTACTGTATGAAATGAATTGTTCTTTTGTATTATATTTTAAACTTTGGCAATATTGTAGTTTGACATTCATGCCAATAAAGCTCCATTGAACTGAATTGAACATCATAACTGCATCATCCAAACATGCACCTATCATAAACAAAACTATGAACACAAAACTCTGAGCATAAAGGCAGCCACCTCAGCTGCACAGATAATGCTGCTTTAACTGTTAGCCTACTTTCTGCTTGTTTTATTGACTAGGTAATAAATAACCAGGGTGTCCCAGCAGCAGCCTTTCACCTGCTGGTCATTGGTTTCTGGCTGAAGGCGGAGAGTCAATTTGCTCTCAGTTACTACAAGAGATCTCGGGCAGCAGAAACCCATGTTTTCCCGAGTGTAATCATAAGGATGAAGGTTGACATTCATAATCATATTTTACCAAAGGATTGGCCCGATTTGAAGCAGGTAGGCACTGAGAGACACAAGCTCATTAAGGATCTGAGAGGTTTTTAGCCTGGAGCCTCAGCGTAAATCCACACAATCTACAGGCTAGATCTGAGTGGGTTTTAGAAAAACACATCTGTCTTTGTCTGGCAGGCAGAGCTCCTCCTTGAATGTTACTAAAAGGCAGTAAAATAAAATGTACAGACTTTTCCAGTTGGAGTGTCAGAAGGGAGTTTAACAGCTCACTCCATAAATCTGTGTTTTCTATGGATGGTTAAACTTTAATCAATAGGTGGCTGTGGCCTTGCTCTTTCGCTGTCCTATCTGTTCCTGCTGTTAAGTCTGTGTCACTATGGAGGCCTGGCCTTTGCCAGTGATTGTCCATGTTTAGTGCTGAACAGGATAGATGGTCTGCGGACTGGTGCCCTCACCACATCGCAGTCTTTCTTTCTTCCCATAAGTAATTACATACAGTAACATAATATGACAGGCATATTCATATTTTGAGTTGTCAATTAGCTTCTCTGCTACTTGAGAGGTCTGACATCAAATGTATGCATCCTGGTATTTTTTTGGCACAAATTTTGTGTGTTACACTGGCGTAATACTGTATTTCACGATATGTGATAAACCGACTGAAGGCCTATATAAATATAAGTGAACAAAAGTGAATTTTAGGATATTTAACAAGTCTTATTTTATTGTAGTCCTGCGGCCTTCTTATTATCCATGTTATATGAATAATCGGAATTTACTGGTGGCCATAGTGAGAAAAACACATAAAAAGTGTATTTCACCACATTTTACAGGAACAGAAGTACTGCATCTTTTTCTATAACAGACTTCTAAAACATACATGTCATTAGTTCAAAAGGATTTTCATGAGCAGCTCTCATGAAATTTAGAAAAGTCATAAACCTTTTCATGCATTTGTGGATAGTTATTTTAACTCCATTTTGAGTTACCATATCACAGTTATGTTCTCCAAGTCATTTGAGGACAGTGTCAGTTGATTCATAGCAACATTATAACAGCGGGTACTCTCTTGGTTTCCAAATATTTATTTCTTGATGACCTTATCAATCCAAGATGGCCGACTGTGATGGCTAAATGCCTCAGGCATATCTGTGAAACACTTTTATTCAAGGAGGTCATTCAAGACAAAAAAAATAGTACTATGTACTGTAAAGTCTTATTAACAGGTTTATGTTTTGTAAATTAAAATTTAGAGTAAAATATAGTTTTTATACACCAAAAACCAACTGTCCACGTTTGTGGACGTCATGCAACAGTGGAGTCAGTGTGCATTAAGTTTGATTTTTTAATCTGTTGATATACAGTATATATTCAAATTTTTCAAAGATGTGATGAATTTCAAAGATGTGATGAATTGTATCATATTACAATAAAGCATAATAAAACATTTAACAAATATATTAACATTATAACAATGAAAAAGTGCATATTACAGCATTAAATGGCAACTTTTGACTGGCTTAGCAAGACATTAGAAGAAGTATTGTACTCACATAATGTAAAGAAATCAGTTTTAACCAGAAATATGTACTCTGTTACATGTTGTATGTTGATATGAAAAACTGAGATGAATCAACATAAAGTTAGATGAGGATAACAATATGCTACTGGGTGTCCGAAGTCATGTAATTACACTTATAAATAGCACTGTTAGTGTTCTTTTCTTTATTATTTGTTCCTAAAATATTTGTTTTATTGTTAATTTTCAACTATTGAGACTAAATAACTAGCATAACATGACATAACAAACATAATATTCCATGTTGTCAGGGATGGCATTTTACTCCTATGTTGCATGGTGTCCACATACGTGGACAGTTAAATAATTTAAAAATAAAACAGAATTTTGAACAAAATGGATTTGTATTTTAGCTCAATTTTGAGTAAGAAAAAGAATCTATGAAAAAAGAATTCATGCATGAGAGGATGGTAACACAGTATGTTGAGTATGTTGTTTGGCCTTTTAGAGAGGTCCTGGTCTCTTATCATTTAAAGCAGACTTTTATTGAATGAATTGTAAAACCCATCTCGCATTTTAAAAATTCTGAAGCGTCTCTGTGGCATCAACAAAGTACACAGAACTGCAGATCTGTAGGGATCTGAAATGGGGCTTTACTGGCTGCATTGCTGATGTAGATCATTTGTGGCTTCATCTGCAAAGAGTCAACAGCCTCAGATGGCATTCACTGTGAGTTATCCAGCGCGTTAGAGTGGATAGTCATCTAGGAGCAAGATTGAACCCTCGCAGACAAGATAACACAATCAATACAGGCTTTTCCACAGCCGAACGTGTCGGGGGCATCAAACTCTGCCCATGTTTTACATCTAAATTAAGGACTCCAGATATGTAATCTAATGCACAATACATGTTTTTCAGTATGTGAATCTTCTATGAACCATTCAATTATTAAGCACAATCCCTCTTTTGAATGTGTTTCAGAGGTATGGATATGATGGGTTTGTCCAGCTTCACCATCACTGCAAGGTGAGTTTTTTTCTTTTATGCATGTATCAGATGACAGGAGCCCTTAAGCAATTGTACTGCATACTATGCTGGGGGACACAGCAGGCACCTCCCGGCTGCACCCCACCCTGTGGACCTGTCAGCCTGTTTCTCGCCACTTGAGCAGCTGCAGAACTCAGCATGCTGCCACTGCATCAGCGGAGATATTTACTTCAAATACCACAGAGCAGCCTGGCAGCTGTGCAGCCAATGCAACTTTAATCGGCAGACGAATAGTTGAGCTTCTGGCATCATCAGACTGCACATAAGGATGAAGAGTTAAATGTGTCACATCGATGCATTCAAATATAAGCCGTGTCTGAGGAAGAACATCTTTCCCGATACCAATGTTAAAACAAGGTCTATGAGGACTCCAGGTCATATTGGAACACAGGTGTAGATACACCCAAGATTAGAGATTTTGTACTTAATTACAGGGGAAAACATTGTCCAGGTGCTAGTTGTTAACATGACACATGACATTTTATCTGTCTTGAAACTGTAATTCCAGATATAAATGAAAGTTTACATCTCCTATTTTTCCCATGAAACAGAATGAATCAGCGGTCTGCTGCCATCGTGTGGTTGTATTTTGAAGTGTTATGAAATCCAAATCTCACATAATCTCATGAGTTGAAAACTATATAAAGTCAATTAGTGCAACGACCAAGAACAAGAACAATACGTCTGCCTGGGTGCCCAACGGAGAGAAGGAATTTTAACTGCATGTTGTCATATCAATTAGGGATGTGACTGGTGTTGATGTTGTGTTTCAGGGTGAAGCAGAGATGATGAAGGATGGGAAGCTGTTTCGTGTGATTCAAGAAAACTGCTGGGATGCAAACGCACGCATAAGGGACATGGATCAACATGGTATGTGCACAGACAGGACATACGCCAACAGATAATACAGCGTTTCATCTCACTGATGCCTAAAACGGTTGTTTCTGTTTATGACCTTCAGGTGTCACAGTTCAAGCCCTCTCCACTGTACCTGTGATGTTCAGTTACTGGGTAAGTGCACAGTAGGTCTGAGCAACTTGGATCAAAAACAATGCAGCTATTTATTTCTGTGTGCTTAACACCTGAAACATTGTGTTGTTTACTGTGCCCCAAATTACTGTGAGCTGCACAACACATTCCTGTTGGATAAAAGGAACACATTAAATGTGAGGCTTTTTGTGTAATACCACAGTGGCTTATATGCTTGTCTGCAAAGCTACTTAACTTTCTTGGCTCTTCTTCAGTCACAGAAGCATCAACACGAAATTGAAGAATGTGTTTAAAATTTTATTTCAGCTTTCAAATATATATATTTACCTATTTCAATCATATTTTTTGGTTTACAGGCCAAGCCTCATGACACACTGGATCTCTCTGTCCTTTTAAATGACAATTTGGCTGAGACAGTGCGTAGCAACCCCAAGAGGTTTGTGGGCCTGGGCACTCTGCCCATGCAAGCCCCTGACTTAGCCGTGCTGGAGATGAGGCGCTGCGTGAAGGAACTGGGCTTCCCTGGGGTGCAGATTGGCTCACATATCAAGAACTGGGACCTCAACGCCCCTGAACTCTATCCTTTCTATGCTGTGAGACACTGAATGTTGCAGTACATGCTTTTATGATAACATAATGTTCCTGGTCATGGTTATTGCAAATGTACCTATGTTTACACTCCACTGGTTTGATTTATTTCATACTGAAGTGCATGACATTCCTTTACATTCAGAGGTCAGATTCAAGAGGAATACTGATCTTGCATTGTGTCTTCCATGCAGGCAGCTGAGGAGCTGGGCTGCTCCATATTTGTCCACCCATGGGACATGCAGACAGATGGGAGGATGGCTAAGTATTGGCTGCCATGGCTGGTGGGTGAGTGAACAAGCAATATTGTACATCACCCCTGGTCTAGCCAATAGAAAAAAACAATTTCCCCATGCGTTAAAACTCACATAGGTGTTCATTTTCTTTCACTTCATATTTGATGCATTGTGATACAGCCAATGGTTATCAATAATGCTCTTCTTTGGTTTTTAATTTTGCTTCTACCACTTAGTATATTAACCCACTGACATTGTCTTATAATAACAAGGCATTTATTTAAAGCACCGTTTGAAAAGACACATTATGTTTTGTTGACATCTCCATCTCAAAGGCATGCCGTCAGAGACAACCATGGCTATTTGCTCGATGATATTTGGAGGTGTCTTCGAGAGATTTCCTAAACTGAAAGTCTGCTTTGCACATGGAGGTATAGACCAAATGTTGCCGATACATTTCAGTTGAAGTACATTAAAGTCATAGCAGAATAATATAAGCACCAAGGTGTGAACTTCAGTGTATTCTCACTCCGTGCTCAAATAAAAATACACCGAGCCACTGTATGTTTTTGCTTGACCTTCATTGCTTTTGTGGTTGCAGGTGGCTCTTTTCCATTCACCGTTGGCAGAATTGAACATGGCCACAGAGTCCGCCCTGACCTGTGTGCAGTGGACAACGAAATCAGTCCAAAGAAATACCTCGGCTCTTTCTACACCGACTCCCTAGTTCACGATCCCATCGCCCTGATGCTACTCATTGATGTCATTGGAAAAGTGAGCATGTGTTCTTTAAACACACACACAGACACACACACCATATTTTATGGGTGCTCAGAGACGGCCTATACATTGAGAACACTCTGACGGACAACATGTATTCCTCTTTCAGGATAAAGTGATGCTGGGAACAGATTATCCATTCCCGCTGGGTGAGCTGCAGCCTGGATCACTGATTGAGTCAATGGATGAATTTGATGACACGCTAAAGGTTACAATATTTTCCTGTCATTCATCTCAACAATGCAGTTACCTCAGTATGGCATTGACTCTACAACACATAGCTAGGTAGAAAATATGCATATTATAAGCTGTGCAAAGGAGGCAGTACAATTTGTAATTTTAATACATTTAAATTAATTAAAATAAATGTATGTATGTATAATCCAGAATTAAATATGGTGTGTACTCTTTTTTTCCAGGATAAATTGCTTGCTGGAAATGCACTGGAGTTTTTGGGCCTGAAACGAGAGCAATTTGAGTAACATGAAAAGCTGAGATGCAACTGCTACACCCAGTGATTCAATGCAACGGCTTTATTCACATATTATTAAATTAAATTAAATATATTTAGATTTGTGTATAGTAGATACAACCAATGTTATTGTTATTTGATATAATAAAGTAATTAAGTATTTTACCCTTTTTAGAGAATTTCCTCATTTGTTTGAACTCAGTATCAAGTATAAAATGGCATGTCATCACCTCTATTAGAAGTCGTCTATCAATCATTGGCCTAAAGACATTCTATAAAATGAAAATGAACATGTTAATATGATTATATGGTACCTGTGTCTTGCGGAGTTGGAGTGTCAGGGTCAGACTGGGACAAAAATCCACACATCCCCATCCACGGTCTTGCACATCCACTACTTAAATTTGTGTACAGATGGTGAAATAATTCCTGAATCTAACAGATATTTAAACATTTAATGCATGTGACTGGCAAACAGTGCTTACTACTTTTTAAATAGCACATGTTACTAACAAATTGCACATGCACAGGTTCCTCCTATCCTAATAGTTAATTAGAACCACAATATTAAGAAAGTGAGAACATCATTGCTACCTTCACTGCACGACTCTGATGCAGGAACTGAGCTGTTTTCACCGGGTCCAGCAACATACTAGTTTTGAATAGATATAGAGAACAGAAGTAAGCCAATGGCTTTTTAATATCTCAGCTAACTATTGCATATGAGTGCCTGTAATGGAAGCCAAGTTCCACCCTACCTAAGGATTAATTAGTATTTTCTATGTTTTCTTCTTTGTCTGCAGTAGGCTACTATTGTCCTTCACTGCAGCTTCAGCAGCCGAATTAAGACCTTTCGAAAAGAGTTTGTTAAATTTGATGCACTCGTGGGACTTAAGTGACCTTTTTTTTGCTTTCTCTAACTTTTTCAGCACCGCCTTTGATTTTGACTAATGTTTGAGTAGCATAACATCTGATCTGGTCGGTCGGCCCATCTCGGGACCAGACCGGCCGTTTCCAAACCCCGATCATGTGTGCTGTCGACCTGTAAAAACAATTTATTTAATTTTTTATTTTTCAAAGGCCCACCACAAAACAAATGGTCTGGCCCCCCTGTCATATACCAAATGGCCAATCCGCCGCTGAGTGCTGTTGTTCTTCCTTTACAGTAAAATGGTATTTATCCACATCCTTACATGTCATCTTATTGCTATCAATCAACAGAGAGTTTCTATTTGTTAGCTTGATGGAAGGTTACAAATTGTAAGTGACCTAAAAGCATCCTATAATAGAGAACTCTTAACACACATGGTTTTCAGGTAGGCTACACATTTGCATTCACTCCCACTAATACAAGGGACACATATGCAGGGCTGCCCTGGTTGCCTTTCTAAATATTTTCTTCTGTTAACGTGATCCCTCATGTCTTAACAATGAATAGACTCAAATAGCTAAAAAGCTGTAGCCTACCAGCCTAATACATGCTCTACTTCAAAGCAGGCGTTGTGCATGGATTCTTACGCTAAATAACTCATCTCATCGAGATACAGCACATTTCTTGTCTACTGAATATGAATGAAACACTACAAAATCATGCATCCTGTTAATGATTTTGTTAAGACTCAACTTTGAAGCAAGAGGAATTCCTATTTTTGCCTGCTTCCTGAATATACACAAGAACATAAATCTATAAAATAGACTGAAGTTCTGTGAGGTCAATATTAGTCATCATTTATATGGTTGTGTAGTTAGTCATGTGTTATTGTGGGTTAAATGGTCAGTGCATATTCATTCCAACAAATTTGACCCAAACTAAAAACGCAGTGTTGTGTAAAATGTGAATAAATTAAAAACAATGGATAAAAGACAATAAACAGCACCGCCGTTAACGTCACTGGCCGCCACAGCAGCACCAGATGTGCGCAACCAATCGCACCGTGATCTCATCATGAGCTCACCATCGAAGAAGTCGTGTTTTCCTGTGCGACACCGACGTCACATCCGCTTTCTCGATGCCCAAGCGAGCGTTGGAGAGCAATGGCGGCGTGCCGGGGATCTTCGTCGAAATGGTTTTTCACCCGGGAGCAGCTCGAAAACACGCCGTCTCGCCGATGTGGAGTAGAACCAGACCGGGAGCTCTCCTACCGGCAACAAGCAGCGAATCTGATCCAAGATATGGGCCAGAGACTCAACGTGTATCCTTTGTAAACAAACTTAAGCTGTCCGTAGACCAGACCGAAGTAGACATGGCGCCGAGCGTCGGAGCGGGCCCGTTAGCTAAAGTTAAACTGACTGCTGAGGTTAGGGTGCACGAATCAGGAGTTTATCAGTTTGTATGTTTTGTTTTTATTGGTTAAAATGCTGTTATACTACACGAATCTTAATCCGCAATGACAAAGCCCACTCCCACGCTGGGTGTGTTTAGCACATGTATGCTAACATAGCATGCTGCACTAGCTTAGCTGATGGTTGACGTCCAAAAAGGCCATTAGATTAGGTGAGTTTGCTGCTGTTGCTAGCGCCTTGTCAGCTGAAATAAAAAAGTCTTTACCCCTAGATAGAACTCATATGATCAAACAACGACATGCTTCAGTTTAATATGTAAGCTGATGTTTAAAGTTATCTGCCAGTTTCTTGCTATTTTGATGCAAGTTAGCTTTTGCACTAGTTCAGTAAAGCTAACGTTGTAAGCCTGCTAACGTTGGCTAACCTGTTAACTTTTCTGTAACGTAACTTCCATCGTCTTTAGCGATTTTAAACAGTTGTTTAGTGCTTATACGGTGTCTTGGTTTGTTATAATGTCGTATAGCAAAATTTTTCACTCTGTTCTTGGTTACACTAAATGAAATAAAACATTTCCCTTAACCTGCCCTCCAGCTCGCAATTAACAATAAATACAGCCATTGTTTACATGCATAGATTTTATATGCACCACTCTTTCACCAAATTCCATAGAAATGTAAGTATTCTGCTTCACTTCTATTGACTGCAACCTAGTATCACATGTTAGACTGTTACAAAAATTATACTCTTAGGATGGGTAACGTTACATATTTAAATGTCTTCATGCTTTTGTACAGATAATCTCTCCAACCACCTTATTCTTGGCCGCAAAAGTGGAAGAGCAACCACGGAAACTCGAACATGTGATTAAAGTTGCACATGCTTGCCTGAATCCCCAAGAACCGCCTCTAGACACGAAAAGCAATGTAAGTTCAAGAACCTTGACATATTGTGTGGGTTGAAAGTTTTTTTTTTTCCCTCTCTACATCTGACTCTACATCTATTCTCCCAGAGGCCATGGTTTCCCTGTGTATAACTGGCTGATTCCCAGATTCCCTTGCCCTCTACAAATGGCTTTATTTTAACTGCCCTGGCCTGCTGTTGGTGTGTAACAAACACCTTCGCCCAACAAGGCTTAGATTTACAGTAAAATTAGCCTCTTTGTTTGGAGTTTTTGGCCATTTGAAATCCTTTGTTAGGGGGTAGATTAATAGACTCATTACAATTGTGTTGTAATGACTGTCTATCAAACTTCAGGCATACCTCCAGCAAGCTCAAGAGCTGGTGATACTTGAATCCATAGTGCTGCAGACCCTGGGTAAGTAGTGGTGACTGGAGTGGATGACTTGAGAGAGAGATAGCGTTTTTGTTTATCATTATCATGATCTTTGGCATATCATTAACAGTAAGGGAGTAGTGCTGTTAAACACTGTTGAACTTATCCATCACAACCTGTTGAGTGAAATGTTTTCCCAGCTGCTGTATTGGTATCTTATCATGTACATATTTTCAATAAATCATATAAAGGTGACATGTCATTCTCTCATTGCTGACAACAGTCATGAAATATGGTATTGAAAAAGCTATAGGGGTAAATCACATCATTATTTCACAAATGTGATCCCCATTTCACTGCTCTGCAACGTTTTATTTTTTGGATACATCAATTTGTGCTTGCTTATTGATTACAATCGGTACTGAGAAATGCCTGGCATCCAGAGTGAAAGTGGTCAGAGCTGATTTGATTGCCATTTATTTGTAACATAGAAATAGGAATTGACCATCACGTTCCATTATTTAACATTTAACATATAGATACCTGCTAGAATCTGAATTGATGGCCTTAAAACGGAGCACTAGGTTCGTTTGTTTTTAATCATAAAATGACATGTCACCTCCAAACTGTGTCTGTTGAACTCACCTGTCATGTATTTTGTTCCAGGCTTTGAAATTACTATTGATCACCCACACACTGATGTGGTGAAATGTTCCCAGCTAGTGCGAGGTAGAGGCTTCCTTCTTTGCTCTTTGTGCCCTCTGCTCTTGTTTGTCCCACCTCAGATATGGGTGGGGAGGGGGGTGAAAACCTTGCTGATTTAATGGTTGCGTGACACACACCATGCTCTTTTGATTTCACTGTAGCACATAAAAAACAACATTTACTGATGCATATTGGGCCAAGTCCAAGACTGAATTGTATCATCAGTTATTTTGTGTTGGAGGTTTGCGGTCCCCCTTAAATATTGGTTAAGTTCAAATCAGTCGTTCTGGTTGGCATTTGCACTGTTTTTTTCTTTGTGATCACATAACCAGATGTGGGAGAAAAGACATGTAGTGTCTAGCATCTGTTTTTTGGGTTCTCCTATGAGCTTAGCAGAAAATATTAAGAGACTAAATTAGGACTGTTTATTCTTTTATTTGGTCAGACCATGATTCAGTTTCCATAGTATTGTCCATATATCTTTTAGCAGACATTTTGGAAAAGCAGTGTAACTAATAACATTAACCTGTCTGTCTGCTACCTAAGTGTCAGTCATTTTATTATTTACGCATGTGCCTTTCCTACTGTGGCATGACAGTCGAAATGTTCTGCATGGACAAAAATTTTGACTGCCTTTTTAGATGATAACGTTACCAATTGTTAGTTCATCTGGCTACGCGATATGTTTGAAGTCGGTATCATGTTATTGAAATGAATACACTGTGTGTGTGTTAGGGCTGACCACGAATGGTCAAAGATTCGATGCTTCGATGGGCGGAGCCTGATTCAACTGTCAATCCACAGTCGAAGCTCTGCAGCGAAACAAGGATCTTGCCATTTTGGCAATATGGGGGTGCTCAACGTCTGATTTTTACATAGAACTACCAGTTTTCAATATAAATTTCAAATAAATAAACAAATAAATTTAAATAAACATGTAAAACAGAAAAAGCTTTTAATAAATGGTTTTAAAATGCGTGAATAAATCCAAAATTACCGTTAAAGAAGGGGGTTCAGCCTCACCGGTGTTCCGAGTTGTCTGCACCTCGCGGGACTTTCAGATGATTTATCGTCGTTGATGAACCACGCAGAATATTATATCGTTTTTAAATACTAGGCTACTTGAAATAGACCCGTGAGGAACCACGACGTGCATGTACATTTGGTTGTCGGTCGGACAGCATGCAAGCAAATCTCTACACAAAACAGGTGAATGGCAGGTGAGCAGAGGGAACACGGTCAACAGTAAGCCTCAGATTAGCTGTAAATGTACAGTGTAAGTGACACTGACTAATGAATAGAGACTGCTGCTTCTCAAGATTAAAGCTGAGCTGTTGTGCCCCCACCCACCAAAATCGCTGCGCACAAACAATGAATTACTCATCTTTCATCTAATTGTCTTAAAAAAAATTAGTCATTTGCCAAACTGATTATTTGTAAAATGAAAACATAATATGATAACACTTAAAGCCATTCATCAATAATGGTACATTACTTCTTACCCCTGCGTGCAAGCTTAATTTTAAATAATCCAGCTGACCGAAGTTCCCTATAATGTAGCAACTGTTTGCTCCAAGTTTTGTTTTCAGTCTTGGCCTTGGCTTAATCACTACATTGAAAGTTAACTATAAACAGTAAACATTCACTTCCTGTCCTAATGAAAATAAAATGCTGTTAACTTGCTGAAATGGTAATTGTTTTCCCCTCTGTTTTTTTTTTCTCCTCTTTTTCTGTTTCTCTTACAGCAAGCAAGGATCTGGCACAGACTTCCTATTTCATGGCTACCAACAGGTTGTTATCCTGCCCCTCCTTTGTTGCACTTTGACTGCACACCATAGCTTCCTGTAATGCAGGGTACCCTTTCAGTGTCCAACGGGCCCTACTTGCGCTGGTGGTTGTTGGGATGCTTGCCTCCTCCCCTCAGCTCCCCTCCTTTGTTCAAAGGAAGCGGGACAGGGTGGCTTGTAGCGTTACCGGCCCCAGTCGCAGTGCGGTGTATTGTACAAGGGACCATGTGTTGGCACAGATGGGTTGAATGCAAGATGTGAAGTGTAGTGGTGCGCTTGAAACCCACGTGTTTGTTCGGTTGCGAAAAAGTGCATAATTCTAAAAGAAAGACACTTTGGTAGCCTGAATAGCAGCTAAAGATTTCACAGATGTAAACATTTCTCGTAGAGGTCTTTCCGGTAAGTACCACAGATTCATTTTTAAAATTTTCTTTTTCATATCCATTTGTTAAAAATGCATTATTTCCTCAAATATTTTTCACCTTTTGCAATATTTACTTGTCTTTAAATGCACATTTTTCCTTGCTCTTCTACAACATTCTTTCATACATAGTAGTTAAAAAGATGTGACAAGAACAACGTAATCTCGACCCATTAAGGACCTGCACAATATATAAGAATATAAGCCTAGAACTATTTGAGTATCCCTCATACTGACCGAAATGCATTTGGTGATAAAGATTTATTCTTAAGTAAGGACAAAATGCTGTTGACATATCTTGCAGTAGAAAAACTGGGTCCTTAAAGGGTTTGTTTATAGTAGGCAGTGGTGGAAAGGAATTGAAATTTATGTAATTAACTTTGTTTTTTAATCAGTTGACAATGTCTGGATGCTGACTGGACAGTGTTTGTAGTTTGCCCTGAGCTGGCACTTACCAAGAGTGAAAGCTGTAGCTAGTGCTGGGAAATATGGCCAGGAATGTTATCACGATAAAAGTCATATAATTTGATATCAATAACTATGATAAATGTCAAATCAGATGGTTAACTGTGGTTTTAAACTTTTCTTTATGGTCAGAACGTGACAAACACAAACAGTGGATCACTTAAGACATTTGAAGTAAAACATTCAAAACAATTATGAAAAAATCTTTTTTTCAACAAATAAATATCTTAATAGAAAACATGCTAATTTGTTCATGATTCAATGAATAAAATCAAACATTTATTGAACATTTGTTATATTGTTATTGAAGAAAATTATATTGCTATAATTATAATCAATTTATTGACCAGCCCTAGCTATAGCCAGATTGTTCTTAAAATAACGCAATACAAATGTATTTATTTAAAATGAGTCTGGAAGACTCATTCATAATGTTTAAAAAGTATTTTTTATTTATAAATCCACCGGAGAGATTTCAATATCTCAGATGCCAGCTGCTTTTAGATGTTGGCTGTGACTAGTAGCTTTGTTTAAGGCTGCTGTTGTAATCTGACAGACCAGACTCCAGACATTGTACTTGTCTCATGTTACAAGATTACCATCCATTTACCAAATGTGTTTTTAAAAGCACCTATGCAAAATTGTGTCTATACAGCTTCATGCTGAGGCAAGGTGTTAGGAACGTGATAATAAATCTGGTTTTATCATGGAGTATGTTTTCCTTGAGAATCTTTATTTTCATGCCCTAAGAAAACAATAGTATGTTCATGGCTTATGTGTCTGATAAATGATTGTGGGGAACTAAAACCATAGCTGTTTGTGTCAAGATTTTAGCTGTAAATACTTGGAAGGGGGCCGTTAGACTAGTTATTTTTGATGTGATATGAACATTTTGTTGTTCATGTTCAATTCCACTTTTGCAGAAAAATGTGACATTTCTTAAACAATGATTTTACACTGAAGTCATTGATTGAGGCTCACAGTATTGAGCCTATGTATACATTTCAGTATACCGCAAACACTGGCAGCACTAAGTTGTATTCATTGATCTGGAGGACCCACTTGGTTTATCCTTTTCACAGTTGAAACAAAGGGAGACCCATATATGGGAGGGTTGTAGGAGCAGCCTCTTGTCTGTTATGTTGTCGGTTGTACAATGATGCAACTATGACATGGGTGGCCTCTGGGTTTCACAAGGGGTACGCTACATGTAGCTGCTACACGTGGCCCCCTCCCCACTTCCCTCATTTTTTGTTATGTTGTCCCTTGAAACATAAATCATTGTCACATGACCAATTTCAGTGCTTACTTTTAAGCACACTGGGAATTATGTCCTTAAATCACATGAATCATGAAGTTGTTAGCAATGTCACCTGTATTGTGACCTGAGTTGAGAAGCTGTTATGTGATCAGGTTTAATGTATCAACACGAGCAAATAATAGCTTATCTTTTGCAACAAATGCATACAGCAAATTAAAGTTGTCTGCTCCCCCTTGTGTTTTTTTTCTCTCTTCTCCACATGTGGGACCCATCATGACTGGCCTGAAATCGACTCACTCACATACCTATACTCTCACATATGTAAAATACTCTTACACACATTCATCACTTGCGCATACCCTCACACCCTACACAGTCTACACCTCACTACCTTCTGCCTCCAGTACAAGCCCACAGTGATCGCCTGTGTGTGCATCCACCTGGCATGTAAATGGTCCAACTGGGAGATCCCAGTTTCCACGGACGGAAAACACTGGTGGGAGTATGTGGACAACTCTGTCACTCTGGAGCTGCTTGATGGTAAGATTGAATAAACGTGTTTCACTTTTCCTTAATGTATTACAGTGAATGGTTTTCAGCAATTTCTTATGTGGAAAGGTAGTCACATATTTATACAGGTGTATTTTAGGCTGTTTGACAACATTCATGTCTTTTACTTGCAGAGTTGACCCATGAGTTTCTGCAGATTCTGGAGAAGACTCCCAGTCGGTTGAAGAGGATACGCAACTGGAGGGTAGGATTACATTGCTGTTCTGTTTCAGTCTTTGGAAAGACATGTTTGGCCTGTGATTTAGATTTTGAAGTCGAAATTTATGTAAATGTAAAAAAGTAAAACAAGTGGAACAGCTGATTACAGCAGGTAATAAAGCTCGTTAAACATCCTGTTCCTCCGAAACTCAGGAAGCTGGTCTGTGCTGCAGCTGTTTTTAATGACCAAGCAAAGCCTGTAGTTTTTCATTATATTCCAATCAAATCTGATGTTCATTTATACATTTTGCTCTTGGATAGTGGTTACAAACAATGACGGCGTATAGGCCTACGGCCTACGTCAGCTGGTTAATTTGATCTTCGCAGGTCTTTAGACCACGGTGGAAACGCACACAACAATGGGCTGAAGTAATCTTTTACTTCCTTGAAAAGAGATCCGGGTGGTATTGGTGGAAACACGATGAAAATGGCTGTTCATTGTCCTTTTCCATGGACACGGTTAATAAATAAGACGTCGCACAGACGTCGAAAAAATTTATTCAACTCATTTTCGGTTCTCATTTATAAAAGAATAGAAAATATGGGGGGTAACAATAATATAATATTACTTATTAAATATGTTAAGGGAAAATAATACAAGTAGAGGTTTACTTCCTCTTTAGGCATAAGTGTTTGACAGTGGGACGTCGTCCAACTTTCTGTGTAGGAATGTGGACTGTATGAGCTACAGTATCTAGATACATTCTTCTGGCAACATAAAAGCATACAAATAATGTAACCTCGGTGTAAACAGTTGAAATTTAAATAATTTATTTACATAATCAATATCTGGCTATCTGTAGTCAGATTTGCAGAATTTTCAGACTAAATGTGAGCTCAACCATCTACAGAGAAGACTGCAAATTTGAGTCTGGAAAAGTATTGAATTTTGAAATCGAAAATGTGTAGGACCCCAAATTTAACCGTCTGTACTATATGAACTCTACACTTAACCCAAGTTTGGCTATATTGGCAGCAGTGTTAAAGCACAAATATTAACAGAAGTCCTGCTACATTGAACTTAACGCTAACAAAAACCAAGCTCAAAACAGCGTCACAAATCTCTTTCTACCCTCTAGGCAACACAAGCTGCCAAAAAGCCCAAGACTGAGGGCGCTCAGTTGACGGACAACTCCTTTGCTGGGCCTTCCATGCTCCAAGATCAAGGTGATGCCTCACTCCTTGGAGTCTCCTCCAACCCAAGTTTTTCCAAAGCAGGCGGCGCCTTCCCCGTGCCTATACCTGGCCACGCTGGAGGTGCACCGCTGTCTCTGGACACCTTAACTGGCACATACAATCCAGCTAGCCACAGTGAGTGGCCCCAGGGCAGTCAGGGCCTAGCAGGGTACCCTTCCACCTGTATAAAACAGGAACCTCTCAGCATCCCTCTCCAAGAGCCCACACTGTCCTTGCAGACCTCCACTTCGTCTTTGCTTCAGCATCCGCCAGTATACAAGACTGAGAAAATGGTAGACTTCAACCCTGTCAAACAGGAACCGAAAGGAATTGGTGGAAGCGGAGTGGGCAAGCATCAGCCACCACCTCAGTCTGCCTACCTTCTGCCAGCTCAGCCTCCTCCCCTTCAACCTTCTTCAGCTCCGAAGCTGTCTCTGGACAAATACAGAGAGAAACATGCGGCAGAGCTGGTTGTCTGTGGGCAGAAACGTGGTCAGGAACAGTATGGAGGAGTATTGGATTGCGATGTGAAGGTGGATATATCGTCTTCCTCCTCTTCTACCTATGCACCATCCTCTACGGGCCAAGTAGACCATAGAAAACATTCACTGCCCCACCAAACATCCATGGTGGTGGTGGCAGCACTGCCTCCCCAATGAAAATTAAAGTCCCCTCCTCAGCTTCAGGGCAAGATAGACGTCATCACAGTGACAAACGTGACAAAGGCTCGCTTAAACTCCGTCTGGCTGTTCCTGGGTCCAGTGGCAGCTCCCAGCTGGACAAAAGTAGTCAACCAAACAAAGATGAGCTTAAGATGAAGATTAAAGTTTCATCATCAGAGCGCCACAGCTCATCAGATGAAGGCATGGCGACCAACAACAAGAGTAAACATTCCAGTCCTCTGGTGAGCAAGGAGAAACAACATTATGGAGCAGATCACAGCCTCCACCGCCACCACAAGCACAGTCACCCTCATCCACACACACACAGCGGGAATGGACGAGGAGGCCCAGAGGGCCCAGGTAGCGGGGGAAGCCTTCTAAGAGGTCCTCCAGGACTGGTCAGCATGGAAGGGGCTACACTTGCTCCTCCCGGATCCACCTCTTTGTCGTCATCGCGCAAGAGGGCGTACCCCGAGGCCAGCCACAACCACCACCCTTCCTCCTCATTCTCCACTTCTTGCTCCAAAGTGAGCAAAATCTCCAAGGGTGGCACTGGTGCTGCAGGTACTACATCTTTTTCTTTCCCCTTTTTTCCTCCTTGCTCCTCTCCTGTACTGCAGTGTGTCTCGTCCGGCTTGCAGCTCTATGGCTAACCTCCTCCCCCTCCTCCTCCCCCTCATTCTTGTTTCTCCTCCTCCCCTCCTGTCACACCCAGGTGGGCTGCGGACCTCTCAGCAGTACTCTCCTCCTAGTGAATCGCCACATGAAGTGGGAGAGCAGAGACACTGAGTCCATCACTCTGCAGCCATGGCCAGCACATGGAAATGGCAACAAACTACCCACAGTTCAGACTCTGAAGACTATGCTCACCCCCCTGTTAAGTGCCCTAGGACAATTAACTCTTTATGTGATGATAAACCCTTTACTGAAAGGCAGAAAAATGTATCTGCAAAAAAAACGAAAAGTATTGTTGGACATCTCAATTTCTGAGAGACATGAAAGATGAAAAATTATGCTTCCTGACTGTCAGATCTCTGGGCTGTGATACTCAGTCCTGTCTTTCTGTTAGTTTGTTAAATTGCTGCTTGGTTCACCTTCCTCCTCAAATGAGTAGGGATGTGCAAGGGTGGGTTTGTGTGTGTTTTCATCGGGAGGAAAGTCCTTCCTTAGATTTCAGATCTCCATATGGGAAAACAAAAGTATTCGTAAGTACTATAAAAGGCATGGAAGGTGCACTTTATTCATTTTCCTCCAATTTTTTTTAACGAGTAATTTAATAGAATCACCTTTCTGCGGTTGTATGGAGGAAGCCAGCTGGAGATGAGTTCAAGTTATGTTTGCTGGCAATCCATTTAGTATTGTTGATGGATGCAATTATTTTTTTTAGGTGTGAATCATCTCCTCAATTGCTTTCTTGTCTTGATTTCTTTTTATACTTCAGTACCGTGCGTATGATTTGCATGTTTCAATCATCAAAGGGATTTAAAAGGAGAACACGTACTTGCTGTTTACAGAAAGAGGAGATAAATGTTCATACGTTTTTGTATGTTTAAAGAAAAAAATCTATACCATGACTACTCAGGTTTGGAGCTGCTTGTAAGTATAAAAAGACAACTATAATACCTATAAAAGACTTTTATTTTGTTGACCAACGGATTGGGCATCATCAGGTGAATGACTGCAGCATTCTACTGGTGTGTGCTTCTTTCAGCCTTCCTACAGAGGGCGCTGGACTGTGCTTTTCCATTATAGGAAATCCGTTGATGCCCTCAGTAACACAGGCACATCCAACACCTACTTATCACATCAGAGTGATGCAATTTGTACCAAAAATAATTTTTTGGACCTCTAAGTAGACCTTAAGCTGGTTGCCAAAGGCTGTGCCTCAAAAAGAAAAACACTGACAGACAGTAGTAGTGTGCTATTACAGTTTACTTAACCCTTTTTACTTTGAAGTGCAGACATAATTTCAGCTGTAGCCCTTTGATGTCAGCCCATGAAGGGCATACATGTAAGTAGTATTCAATCCGCCTTTAACAGTGTGCTATTCAGACGTAACACCCTTATTGGCTCTGTTCCATCCCAGCAACAGTTGGCCAAACAGTGACCAGCCATGCAACCTGATGTGCTGGATATTTTTGGAAAACTCGCGTATCTACAATATGGATGTCCCTAATAGGTTTTGTCACTGATGTCCACATACACTGATTGTATTTACATTTACAGCCAAGTCCTTGTCTGCACACGTCTTTCCATCACTTTCATACATTAAAGTCTAAATTGTCCAATCTTGTCACAACACTTCCCTCTATTCTTGACTAGGTTACTCATTTATTTTAAGTGCAAAATACCAATAAGCCTGAGGCTGGACTGGTTGTACCCTCATTAGGGATTTACAGTAGGGCACACAGAACAAATGCCATTGTGGACAAACTTGCATAAGCCACTCTTTACATCCTTTTTTCTTTTCATTTCTATATTGCAAATAAACTTCAAAGTTTCCACTACCCCGACACAGTATAAACCCTGGTTGTTGCTGTCATTTATTATGCATATATCCATGTTACTAGAACCTAGGAGTGAAGAAACATTCTGCTTTTATAGATTTGAACATGAGATATGCTTGATTAGTAGCTTGTAGTAAGTAAAGTTCTTATGAGTGTCTCTTAGGCAATATTCTACACAATGATTCTGCAATAACTCAGAGGAAAGCTAACGGGACATAGTAGTTCACATTCTAAGCCCTGAAAATGCTTGCTTATAATGTATAGTATAATGTCATGTATGCTGCAAAATGGATTACATATTTTATAAGAACCTAAATATCACGCGTCACGGACACCTAGAGCTGCACGTATAAATTGAAAATTACAGTATTTATAAGATTGGCACATTTATTAGATTGCTATAGGTCGGTAATAACAATCTGGCATCTATCTGTTCACATTTTATAGGTTCTATCAAGTGAAACATAAAAGTGCTTTTCATGTACTGAGTTTTAGGGGCCCATGCTCCTAAACACACAACAGGTGGATCCCTGGGGATATGTGGCAGGCCCCTCCAAGGGTGGCAAAAGAAAGACATGTTTTGAGTCACAATCTAAATTGAATCATTAAATGTCCCCTTGTACTCAAAAATATTCTGTTGTAGCGTAACTCCTTGTTAACCACAATGTCCCTCTGGGTGACCACAGCAGTTCTTTTTCTGTGTTTTCCAAGCTTTCACTCCACTCTCATTTTGGGGGATGAATGAATGCTTCAGCAGCTGCTCTGCAGATGGCCGCAATCTCTGGTCACTGAATTTAAGAGAAAACAAATGAAAATAAGAGCATTTATTCCCAAACATCTATGAATAAGAAAGTGCACTGAATTAGGACTTTAACTTGATTAGTTTCAATGTCCTAATAAGCATATTTTCTATTATAATTAAATCAGGTATAGATTGAAAGGGTGAGTGTACGAAAGGAATTTACCATACATTCAACAAAACATCTGTTTGAGTTTGCCCTGCCCAGGAAGGACAATGGGTCTCACCTCGTCAAGCTGATTTTTACAAAATCTTTGGCATTATCCGAAAACCCATCTGGTAAGGAGGGCATCAACCCTCTTTGAGCCCCAATGTAGAACAAGGCAGCCATCTTGTCCATGTGTGCCAGTGGTGGTTTCCCTGTGGCCATCTCAAATACTGTGCAACCCACACTCCATATATCTGACTTCCTGCCATATCCTGTCTCATTGATAACCTGAGGAGTGGAAAAGATGCCAAGAGTCAGACCAGACCAATGGAAACCAATGCAAAAAATAGAACTTAAGTCATTCAAAAAGTGTTATCTTCACAGATGAGAAGACCACCTTAATGAGCTCTAGCTTTACCTCTGGTGCCATCCAGTAAGGTGTGCCATGGACAGACTTGAGAACATCTCCGCTGTTGCTAGCAGTGTGGTTAAGGCAGCTGAGACGGCGTGCACAGCCAAAGTCTATGAGCTTGATGACACCTGTGGGCATCAGCATGACGTTGTTTCCCTTCAAGTCACGATGAATCACTCTGTTCAGGTGAAGGTAGGCCACCCCCTCCAGGATCTGATGGGTGTATAGAGCCAGGACACGCTCGGGCAGAGGACCAAACCTAAGGACAGTGAAAAGGACAATGTGTGTTAAAGGCAGAAGTTCTGCTCTGATTATTTGTCACACATTCCTAAAGCTCAATGTTTCAACAGGTACTTCTGGGTAGGTTTTCAAGCTGGTTTAAATCAGCCTAACCTGTGAAGGATGCTAGCGATGGATCCTCCTGGTATGTATTCCATGAAGATGGAAACCACATGCTGATGAAGTGAGGTACCCAGGAAGCCCACAATGTTGGTGTGTCTAAGAGTTTTAAGCAGCTCCACTTCCTGCTGCAAACGACTGTACTCCCTCTTTGCAGCGTCAGGATCAGAGGCATCCAAACTCACCTGCTTCACAGCTATCAGCTGGCCCTGGCTGGTCAGCCCACAGTGCACCTGTAAACAGGCAGCAGTGAATGCCAGGGTTAAATGGGCATCAATGTGTGCTGTTGTACATATAATATTTTGAGCATTTGCATGGTTGTATGAACAGATAATACCTAAGGAAGTTGGTGTACATTTTTTTAAGCTTCACGAGAGCTTCAAACAGCAGGAGTTGTGATGGTCCACATACTTACAGTTACAAAGTTGGCGATACAATATATCTGTTATTCTAAATGAGCATACTTACTGTCCCATAGGCTCCCCTCCCGAGTACTTCACCCTTTGTCCATGTGATGGTGTCATCTACAACCAACCCAGAGCCAAGCAAAGCAGCATTGTCTGTTGAATGAACCTGAAAATGAGGTTGAAGGTTACCGAGAGAGCAAAACAGGGTGGCTTGGATTATCAACAGAAAATCATTCTCATTTTGTATACAATTACAAAAACCAACTGTGTGTTTGAAGTTTTAGTGGATCAGAATATTTTGGTTTGTCTGGGTTAAGGTGTTGAATTAGTTAGTACCTCATTATGTCTTATATGTAAGGGACTGTGTGTAATTGATTGCGGTGGTGAGGCGGGGATGAATGTTTCAAGGCCTTTGCTACATTTGGTTACAAATGTAATCATTTTCATACAGTCCCTAACATTTGTAGAGTTATGAAAGAACGTGTTGAATGAGTAGAGATAGTTTTTGAATATGTGCTTGATCATGGCCATATTATATTATGATAATGAACAGTTCTCCTTCTTTTGACCAAAATAAAGCCAAAAAGTTAACCTCATGAAATGCATTTCTTTCTGATACTGGATTGTCTTCTCTGCGGGACTCGTCTTTACTCAGTCCCAGGTTATCAGGACATGGGCCGATGGATACGTCCCTCTCGTCCAGTGAGATCAGCTCCTCAGCCAGACATTGCAACAGGTCATCTGTAAGCGGCCCGTCCCCCACTTCATCCAGAAACTTCTGGTAAACTGGTGACATGATAGTGTGGATGCTGCTGCAAGTGTTGATCTTCAGCATTTGGGGGCTTTGAGATCCTATTGATGAATTCCGGTTTTGTTCTTGCTTATTCATGTGCATGTGACTAAAATCTTCAACATGAGATGAAGTTGCTTGCGTAGTCAATGTTTTGTGATTTGATTTCAATGTTTCAGACCCAAATCTAGAAAGAGCCTCCTCTATGGTACATAACGTGTGATCTTCAGCCTTTTCTTGAGCACTATTATGGCAAATGTCAACATCCTTAGAGAGAACTGGATCAGCCTCTGTGTCCCCATCCAATATAGGTATATCCTTCATTTTCTGTGTGCCTTTCCTTGATACGGGTGTGAGGTGAGGTCTCACCCTAGAGGACGCAGGTTTTGGTTTGCTTTTAGCTGAAACCACCATACACTCTCCTGCACTTCTCCTCAGTTTACTCTGCCCTTGTTTCAGTGGTCTGTGTTTGACTTTATGGCACTGCTGTGTCTTCCTAGACGGAGCAGACTGCACGTGTCTCTCCTTAACTTTCTCACAGGAGCTGGAAACTCGAAGGTTTTCATAGATAGGACCAGCAAACATCTCATAGATGGCCGGTCCTTCATCCCTACTCTGTATCTGCTGAAACATGTCTTTGTAAGTGATGAAGTCTACAGCAGATTTAGACCTTGCCGTTCCCGCTAGACTGGGTCCCTTCAGCTCCCTCAGTGGTGGGTGCTGTTGAGCTCTGTTGCTGTTTAACTTGTCAGGATTTGCTCTTTTGCTCTGTACATGATCTATAACCTTCTTTCGTGGCGATGGGGATGCCAGTTTTAAGGTGAGCACCTTTAACAGATTTAAGCTTTGATTTTACTTTTGTAACAGTCTCTCCACTATTTATTAGCTCTGGGCTTTTCCTGGTTTTATCTTTAACTTGTGTGGACAGTGAGGAGTGCTTCAGATTGGTTTTGGACTTCCTATGCAGGATGCTTCGGTCTTTGTGTGCTAGGATGTTGAAGGACTGCTGGTTCGTTAGAATATTTTCCCTTAATAGAATATTTTCCCTTAATTCACAGTTCATGGTTCTTCTCTCCTTGTTCCAGGCAGGCTTTAAGGTTTTCAACGTCCTCTCATGTCTCTTGAGATCTATGTCTGTCTGTGGAAGCTTTACATCTGGAGTGAATAATTGAGTCCTCTCCTCCTGAGTTATATGGTTATCTACTCGGGGTTCTTCATAACAGGAATCCTTCGTTGTTCTTTCTGTCTGTTTCATTTGCTGCAAGTCACTTCTGTAATTCCCTTCAGAGCGTGTGATAGCATCACTCTGGTCGTTTGTCATATTAAATTTTATCTCGTGGCTAATCTCAGTCTCATGTTCTGTGGTGTAGACCACATTGTTCTTTTCCTCCTTAGACTTTGATGTGATAGGTATTTCATCGTTCACAGTGTCTTTAGTATGATTTACAGAGTCTCCTTGCTGTGCATAGTTATATTTTATAAAAGACTGACTCTCAACAGGCTCGTTTGTATAATTCATATTGGTGGCTTTGCCTTCACAATGAGAGTTTATAGCTTTTTCAGTGCTGGGAAGATCACTTGTTTTAATGATAGGCTCTCCATCCAGGTTATGTGCTGCTCTGTGGATCGGTGGGATATGGCCGACCCTTGACTGAACTTTAAAATGCAGCCTCATCTCCCCGACCAAATCAGCCTTAGTGTTCGAATGCTGCAACAACCTGTCTCCAACAAACTTCAGATGGCTCTCTGCTGAAGTTCCCTCATGTGTATCCCTCTCATCTTCCTCATCCTCTAGATTGATGGAACTCTGGCTGCTGCTACTGCTGGACCCGCTCTCCTCGCTACCACCTTTAGTGGTCACAGGGCCAGTGCGTGGGCTGCCCCAGGACAGCCTCTCTCTCCTCAGCCGGGTCCTGGAGCAAAGGGGGCTCTGGCTGATGGGCTTCAGGGGAACGTGGTGCTTTAGTGCTGGCAGAGCCGCAGTGTCCCTGGGCCTGCTGTCTAGTGGCGCCAACAGCTTGGGTGTTCTGGGATGCGGAGCTGGCAAGAGACCCTGCGAGGACATTGACAGTAATTCAATGGCTTTGCCTGGTGAGGTAGACAAACTTTGGTATGGATGAAAAGAAAAAGGAATATAGGTATAATGAGACAATTAGGTGAAGCTGATATAAGGAGTTTTTTGGTTGAAATTCACCTTTTGTTCATTCACTGTATCTTGAGAACCCAGTCCTGCAGACAGAAAGAAATTATAGATTTAAAATGACGTGCACATGCACACAAGCATAATCAGCAAACTAAATTACTGATTTTAAATACCTTAAACCACTATTCAAACAGTTGTATTTACACATAATATTCAACAATGTTTCCTTTTGAATATTTATAATATATAAGATAAAAATAAAATTCAACTTCTCCTCTGATCTAAAAATAAAACTGTTTTGTAATTCTTAAAAAAAATGAGTCACAGCTGTAGTAACAGATGGTTTTACTCAATAATAATAGATGATTATCTTATTTGGAGGTTTATACACTTCAGTTGTACATTTACATACGGGTCTGGATGTGTGCTCTGGCCTGCATCACAGTGTTTGAACACAGTAGTGGTTCCATGATGCTGGGGGCTGACTGGCTGAGCTGGCTGGACTCAGCCACGGACAGCAGCCCTGGGGAGGATAAGCATGCTGCGACCACACTTCTTGTTCTCGGCCTGTGAAGAACAAATCAAAATCTGATTTTAAAGAGTTTGCATGAGTACCACAGATGTATTGTGTCTTCTAAACACAAAAAAGTATAAACTCAGAATACAGTAGTGCGGTAAGTAAGATTTTCGATGCCTCATAGCAATAAATGCATTTAATATGGCTATTGGCATACATTGTTGATCAACCATTAGCTAAATAATTGATTAATAATTACTTTTCTTTTTTTAGTTTATCACTTGTGTCACACACAAGCCACCATAATTCAAGGGGATAGCAGATGTTAAGACCGGGAGCCATGCCAAAGAACAAGGTGTGCAGAACAAGATGAAGTGTAATCAAACCTTAGAACATGGTTCAGGTAACTCAGACATCTGCTTGTCATTTTATTTGATAAAAAGAATTAAGGAGTTAAGTCAGATTCTTCTTTTAGTCTATTTCATCTCCAGCAGTCATATGAGACTGGTAGTATTTTTCCCTGCTCCACTCTCTTTCTATATGACGTTTACAAGCATGGTATTGAACTGTCGATCTGCTATTGATTATTCTTTCTTAAATAATCTCAGCTACCGTATGTACCTGTGTCTAGGGGGTACTGGCAGGCAGGAGGTCCTGGTACTCAGCAAACCAGATGAGGGAGCAGGATCCAGATGGCTCCAGCGTCTGCTGTTGTCGCTCAGGCTGGGCAGAGACAAACCTCCTCTGTCGAGCAGAAGAGGACAGAACACAGGCGAGTGGTTAATTTTGCCTTTGGCAAGAAGAGAGGAAAGGCAACTCTGGGAAATTTGTTGGGGCTCAACTGAGAAATTCTTGTTAATAATATTACAATAGGAATTCACAGATTCTGATGAGCTTTATTACCTTGTGCTGACGTGAACATGATGCCAAAAGCCTCATTTTCCTCCCATCTCTCTCTATTTCTGGAAGCTGATGCTATGAAATTAGAGACCTGCTCAAAGGCCTTTAGTCTCTTTGGAGAGGTTGGAATTGATTCAGTGGTGAGAGCTCCGCATCTCAGACAATGGGCTGATTCACCAAAGCCCTCTCTCCCCGCCTGTGTGTTTCTAGCCTGTTTGGGTAGAACAGGTTGTGCTCTGGACACAGTGACAGGTGCCTGTGTACAGGACAGGAGTGTAACCGGATAGGACACTAATCTGCTGTTTGTGTAAGAGTAAGGGGAAGTTGCTGACTAGCCCAAGGAGAGTGTGCTGTTTATACAAGTGACTGTGTGTTGAGGGGGTTGGAGGGTTAACTGTACGCACAACAATTGTTTGTGGTTAAATATGAACAGATGTTGATGTGTTCACATGTTTGCACTGTCAACAATATCAGCTGAGTGCCATCAGCTTCCCAGTGCACCTTCAAAAAGAGTGCACATGAGAATGTGTGTGTGTAAAAGATTGTGAAATTTCACCCGACCCACCTGCTTCCCCTCCCTGCATCCTGGTAGGCTTGCCTGATGTCTCTCAGTGTTTCCATGGCGTTTTGGAAACAGAGGGGGATCCCCTTATCTGCTCCAGACAGCCACACACACACACACACACACACACACAGTTGCACCCACCAACTAAATTGATTGTGTTCTCTCAGTGTTCACAATAGCACACAAATAATGTTTCCATTTCACACATTTGTTCAGAAATAGTAAACAACTATCACTGATACAAAAAAAACTTGAAAAGCAACAAAACAATAATTCACATTCCATTTCCTGAACTTTAAAGTGGTTTTTGATGCAGTTTGATAGGCTGGAGGTTCATAATTGCTGAAGTACAATGTAACTCCGAGGATTCGGGAGTTCATGTAGCAGCTGTATCAGTCGACAGCCTACAGATTTGTTTTATTTGTAGATTTCAAAGCCCTATCATAACACTAGAATGTGCCTTGATAACCACGGGTGAGGGAGAACAAACTCACGCACAACATGTTGATTCTCAAAAGAGAGAAAACAACGGGCAGTACCTGTTTCTGAGCCAGCTGGTCCACTCCGCTCCCATATGAAGACCACGTTTAACGACTGAATCAGATACTTCCTCTCTCTTTTGTTCTTTATTTCACACTTGGGTAAGAAGCTAATTATTTCACCATTATTCTGTTTTTTTACTCTACATCGTGTCCATTCCTCGCTGTATCGTTCTCCTTTAGTGGTCTGCTCTTTCCTCTCTGCGTCTAACCCATGCTGTTATGGCTGAGGTACAAGACGGGCAGGCAGGTTTCTCAGCTGAGAGGTGGTATTGTGTGTAAGACCCCTCCCACCCAGTTACGCCTCCCTCACTCCCCTCCTTTTAGAAGGTGATTTAATCTGATGACCTATTTGGGAGCTGACCAACAGTAAAAAAACACTGACCTGTTTAAAGTAGTTCGCTGGCATCCAAGACACCAATTTCACCTTGCTCTGATTTCTCGTTAGTCCTTTTATCCTCTAGGACTAAGGATACAATTTTTGTCTTTTTCTAACAATCCCACAAAGAGATAAGAAAAGTTTCACTCTAATTTCACACATTAATATCCCACACCTTAGCCCACAAAAACTCCAGGAGTCCTTTAAAGAGTTCGTACCTTGGCTGAGCCCTTTATGACGGTCAGATAGAAGAGGGTCCTCTGGAGACTCTAACATTTCCTGTAAAGAACAAAAATGAATACAGTGAATTCTTCAAAGCTTAAGGAGAGATCACAAAACAAAGCTCTGCTACCAAACCACATAGGCATGAATTTCAGTTTAGAATTGTTAGATTTCACTTATAACAATTAGAGCTCCCAATGGCTCAGTCACCTCTCATATGATGGAGCTTTTGCACGTGTACAGAGGCAAAGCTTAAGTCTCAGATATAGCTCTCTTGGTGGTTTGGAAGTCAACTTAAACATTATAGTTTGAATGATGTTTGATTTGTTCTAAGCAAACCCTTGGTATAAAGTTTATTTACTGTGCATGTACACATACATACATACAGTTAAATGTGTCATTGGGCCTCTGAGATACGTACACAGCAGCTTTTCCCCGTACACCACCTGCTCTTCTCTTCCAACTAGCCAGCTGCCCTGCTAGTCTGCTCCAGCTACAAGCACACCCAAAATACGGTAGTATGGCAGTTAAGTGTCAGCGACCCAGAGCACCCCTCCTCCATACACTTACACACACTAATCTAAACATCCAATTACTGCTTCCACATATTTGTCTTCGGGGTGACTGCTCACTGCCAGCCTGCCTGTGTGTCTGTTAATTGTGGCTACATGAGATCAACAGCCCCACTGCAGTCGCACACACACACATTTAAATACAACAGATCATTATAAAGGCTAATCAGAAGGGTTTGGTTGCTGTCTCACTTAAACAGAGTTTGCTAAAATGTGGACAGTTCAATCAATTAGTAAATACAACCAATCTCTCTCCCAAAGTGTTGAACAAGAATGACAAAAGCCTTGACATCTTGATATAGAAGAGACATTTAAAAGCATTTTCTTTCAGAGGGACTTGTTATTTATCACTTACCCCTGTGTGGCTGTATAGTAGAAAGCACTGCTGATGGGTTGGTGTCTGCGTTGGGGAGGCAGCTACAGACTGATTAGGATAAAGGCTCTCAAGGTCCAACTCTGTGTCTGAATCCCCAAACTCCAAATCCAAATCCTGGCACAAGTATTTTTCAGGGGCTAGGAGTGACAAGGGGGCAGCATCTGCGCAAAATCAGAAATAATTCTAACTCTTTGTGGCTGATATTCACACATAAAGAAGGAAAAATCCAGCTGTTTCTCCCAGTTACAAGCAGTGCAGGTCAAGAATTTAAAAAACTCTATGTTTGGGTCCACACCCCTGGATTCTCTGCTGTTTACTCAAGGTAAGGAATTAGAAGTGTTCTAAAAGTCTGAAAACAACATGTTCTACCTTTCTCTGTTTGTTTTTCATTTCTTTCTCCACCCTTGCGGTGTCACCTTGTTTCTGTATCGCCATCCTTGATACGAACTCTGACTCACACTCTCATGAAGGTTCTTAGCAGCATGGTGGCTCACAAATAGACAGACAAGCCATTCTTATACCCTCCCACATAAGTGCGGGCTTTGAGTGAGGTTTTCAGAGGTTTTACTCTGAAAAACAGCTTTATGAATAAAGCTGGTATGCTGTTTGTGTGTATGCCTGTATGTGTGTGGGAGAGGGAGGAAAATGCGTGTGCTTACACATGCTCACAAAAACACACAGTTTAATGAGTAACTGATCAATGAATCAGTAACCAAAGTGAAGTCAATGACATGAGGAAGTGTGAGCATGCATTTGACCCATTAATTTAATGTAATGAGAAAGCAAAGATTTGTTGCTTAAGGTTGCATATAGCTACCTATTAATTAACGTATATAATGCAAGTATTGCCTTTACTTTCTTAGTTTCCATGTGGTATTTTTTCAGGCCATATGTTGTAGGTAAACAGCATACAAAAAAGGGCAACGTAGTGCTGGGAAACAGTGTTATGGTGCAAGTCTAATGTGCAGGACCCCTTTCAACTTACAAAAATGTTTGTTAACTGCCTAATTCTAATTATTATTTTGAAAGAAACATGAGAATGGACACATAACTGGATAATCCTTACTTTCCTAAAGCAGATCACATGCGCTGCTGGAATTAAGATCAGAATGTTCTCACAACTTTAAAGCAGCATTAGTAGATTTACACTGAACAAAATTATAAATGCAACACTTTTGTTTTTGCCCCCATTCATCATGAGCTGAACTCAAAGATCTAAGCCTTTCTCTATGTACACAAAAGGTCTATTTCTCTCAAATATTGTTCACAAATCTGTCAAAATCTGTTAATGAGCCCTTCTCCTTTGCCGAGATAATCCATCCACCTCACAGGTGTGGCATATCCAGATGCAGATCAGACAGCATGGGTAGTGAACAGGTGTGCCTTAGGCTGGCCACAATAAAAGGCCTTAGGCTGGCCACAATAAAAGGCCACTCGAAAATGTTAATTTTCACTGTATTGGGGGGGTATCTGGTGGGGTATTTGCCTCATGCAGTGCAACACATTTCCTACGTATAGAGTTGATCAGGTTGTTGATTGTGGTCTGTGGAACGTTGGTCCACTCCTCTTCAATGGCTGTGCGAAGTTGCAGTCAGGTCGAGAACCCGATGAGGACAATGAGCATGCAGCTGAGCTTCCCTGAGACAGTTCCTGGCTTATGGTAGAGAAATGAACTTTCAATTCACAGGCAACAGCTCTGGTGGACATTCCTGCAGTCAGCATGGCAATTGCACGCTCCCTCAAAACTTGTGACATGTGTGGCGTTGTGCTGTGTGATGGAACTGCACATTTTGGAGTGACCTTTTATTGTGGCCAGCCTAAGGCCCAGCTGTGCAATACCCATGCTGTCTGATAAGCATCTTGATATGCCACACCTGTGAGGTGGATGGATTATCACACAGATTTTGACAGATTTGTGGACAACATTTGAGAGAAATAGACCTTTTGTGTTCATAGAGAAAGTCTTTGAGTTCAGATCATGTTGAATGGGGGCAAAAACAAAAGTGTTGCGTTTATAATTTTGTTCAGTGTATTTTGGCCATTTGGGGCTGCGGAAAAAGCTGTAAACACAACACTGATATTTTATCACCATATGAAGTATGGTGAACTTGCCAGTAAGCAGTTAGCTACAGCACTTACACATCTAGTAGATACAGAGCAACATTAGCATTGATTTGATGTCATGTTTTTGGCCACCTGACGAATATATTCACTCACAGCTTTGTTTTGACCTCCACCAACTCCTGAGGGAAAGATTTGGATATTTAGCTGCTTAAACATGCCTGTTGTTTGGTTCTGAGCCGGTATAGTGTATAGTCAATTCATGAGCTTTGTCGCTGAAACAGCTGCCCGCTGCAGTTAGAAACAATACAAATGACTAACAATGAGAGTGGTGAGACTGAACCAAAACAGTCAAGTTGTTGTGGCTGTAAAATCGAAACAAGGAGCTGAAAGACGCTAAAACCTTATGTAGAGCTGAGGGGAACTGTTCATTTGGGCAACAATTCTCTGTGGGTTCGTCACTATGAGTGTCCCCTTTCACTATATGTAGTAATTTCATCCAAAGTTAACAGAAATATAATGATTAGCAGAGCTTTAAATTGTGAACGACAAAAACCGTGTGTCCTCGAGCTGATGGATGCCTGCTTCTTCTGTCCAGATGTGATTAAGTGGGACGTGAAATGCATGTGACGTGCGTGTCCAGTGCTTTTTTTGTTTGAGTATAAGTGTGTACCTGTGTCACTCAGGGCCTCTACCATCATAGGAACGATCTCCTCCTTCAGTGGGCTTTTTATGTTAGCGGCGTAGTGGGGGGCTGAACAGCCGCTGGGGTCTTGTACCCGCAGATCACTGAGCAGTTTAAAGACAGATGGAAAAGGTCTAAGTGGACAGTTTTTCTGCATCAGACAGCTTCAGATGGTCTATAAAGGTGTTCCCTTTGCATACATATTTACATTTGGTGTTTTAATGTAAGCAAAAATGTATTACTCAATGCCAAAGCAACCCAAACTAAGTAGAGTATTTTAATTCAAGATGCAACCTCCTCTGCTGAAGACTTAACAAATAGACAGCTGGCAACTGCAACTGTGACTCTAAAGAACAGCTTGAGTGTGTGCTTGTCTGAACAGTATAGTCTACGTATCAATGCATGCATGAATGTGTGTTTTCTTACGCTGAGAGTGCCAACAGTTCCTTGACCACTTCCACAGGTCTGTGTTCCCATGCCAACCGTGTCGCTATGCCCTCAAATAGGTCAATGTCCCTGACAGCAAGCATCACAGCTGTCACGCCGTCGCTGTTAGGGACATTCACATCCACCCTGTCTGTCTGAGCCTGAAACATGCAGACAAACACAAACAAAGACATATTACAAACATGAATAAGACATGACACACTTAGTTTGGAGTAACTTACTAAGTGCTGAGGTCACAAACGGGGGAACATAGCACACATACATAGACAACTGACCTTTAATGCCCTGCAGCCTTATGCACAGCTGTTTTGGTTTGTAGTCTTTTGACATTTAGAAGTTCAGGCATATTTCTAATTTTTGTGTACAGTATATACATATACTCTTACTCTAGCAGATTGGAACAGAATTTCTCAGGAAGTAGAAATAATTAATAATGGATAATGGTAGGGACATGTCCCTACTAAATTCTACGCCCTTGGATAAAACAATTTACAAAACAATCATTTTGATTTGATGAATAACATTCACACGATTCATGTTTTTACATAGTTAGATTAGTAGTAGTCATAGTTAGTTACCTCCAGTAACACGAGGTCACACAAGGACATCATGATACTGACAACCCTGTTTGTTGCCCTGAGCTGAATGCATTTAATGCGCTAAGCAACCATCTCGTACAGTCAGTGAGTTGTTTTTGAGACATTTTGATAAAATCCCCACAAAAAACCTTATATTCTTTAGAGGTATATACATATTTTCAGTCAGGATCCATATGAGAAGGGTTTTCTTTTTCAGCATTTCACCATTATAAAAATAGCATTTGGAGTCATTATATGCTACATGTTCAAGATAACCCTAGCTTGGCAGGTATACAAACTATTCCTAAATGTAATGCCTGAACTGTAAATTGGATCTCAACAACTCTAATCCCACATCACACACCAGAATACCCAGTTGTGTTTTTGAAATAAGAAAACTGTGTTGTTTCCCTTTGCTTTCTTCACTCATCAGGGGAATCCTTAACCACTCAATCTGTATCTGTGTGGGAGCCTTACTAGCAGGTGCTGTAAGGAGTGCAGGTCGCCCTGCCAGGCAGCCTGCAGCAGGTGTGCCTGGGGAGACAGATGAGGCCTCGACATCCAGCCCAACACTTTTCCCTGCAGCTCAGGAGGGGCTATGTGGAGCGCAGTCTGCTGGCTGCAGTTACACAGGGTCACATCAGCCCCGGTCATCAGCAACCGCCGTACCATCTGTTAACAGCACCAGCAGGTAAAACAATAACTGACACAAAAAATGAAAATGTGTAGATTTTTAGTATGTAGACTTGGTAGAATTTGATTTTGTGAAGTTTTTTTCTTCATTAGTTAAAATGAGACAAAATCTAAAAAAGAAATAAAATTGGAGCTAATTTCTACTATTAATGTGCTATCAGACAACTATTCCAGTGTTTCCGAGATACCCTGTAAATGTGCAGGATTTCGCAAACATCTTAAGAGCAAAGTTCTGCTCAATATCAGCTGTAATTTGGTGTGACACAGGGGATCACAGAGGGATTGTCTCCCCTGTGTTACCGGTATGTCATGTGCTTGTTTTGAACATGCCCACCCCAGAGGATGCAGAGGAGTTACCTAAAGAGCAAGATTCAGGTCACTGGGCTCTCAGATACACATAAACACATTTTATTGTTATTGACTGAAAAAATACAACCTTACACCTCAAACACCAGTTCACCAGTAGGAATTTTCCACTGAACGATTGACTGATGTCACATCTGCTATAGTTATATAACAGCTAGTTGACCAGAGCTAGACCATGATCACGCAAAGATAGTCATCCCGATGTTACACTCACACACACACATCCAGCACATAACTTGCCTCAGCAATGCCTTTCTGACATGCAGTGATAAGGGGAGTGGACCCTTCCTCCTCCTCATCTTCAGCGTCGGAGACCTCCAGCTCCTCCCGGCCCTCCAACTCTTGTCCAAGTCTAACAACCATGACTTCTTCATTTTCCTCCTCCTTCTCTATTTTTAGCATCTCAGCAACACTCCCTTTCTCTCTCTTCTCACTTCTCTCCGTAGTTCACAGGTTCCCCGGTCAGATTTGTGTGAAGTGCAGCCACAGAGGAGAGCAGAGACTGAGCAGGAAGGCAGACGGGACTGGAACTGTTTTGTTATTGTCTGTGTGTGTGTGTGTGTGTGAGATCATTACCAGGATGTTAGCCCTGTGATGCAAGTCTCTAATGATCCACCGGTCCCTGCAGAGACAGCACAGGAATTATTCTCCCACGTTATGACTGCTGGTGAGTAACATTAATGCACATCATAATGCATTAAATGAGCTTGTCTAGCAATGACAGTGTTTACGTACCTGTGTGTGCAGAATAGACATGACTCTTTGTGGGCTGAACTGGTTTAATGTTTGACAGAGCAACAGTCAAGATGGCTGAAGTCTTATAAACTATTTTGGTATTATATTAGAAAGGTGCCTTTCAGAAGATATGATGGAACATTTGGACCCTAATATGTGTTAATCCTTAATGAATGATTATCAGCACTTTGAAATAAGACTAGCAACCCTGAATTACAATACAATGTTAAAATGAACTTTTCTTTACTTACTGGAGTGATGTCATTTCATTTGCCTAGCTCCCGTCTTTCACATTCCTTGATGAACTAATCCAGCCAAACGTCTTATCCGAGCTTCTGTGGACATTTGACAAGCAAACCTTTGATTCTTTTTAACAGACTCCCCGCTCTAGTGTTTCCTCTCCTTTCTTCTTTTTTTCCTGCACGCCTCCTGCTGTTGGTTTACACTTGGTCACCTTGGAGATGTTCAGACAGACAGGCTAGCAATGGGTTTAAATGGCAGCAGGGTGTTTGTTGCCTGACACACTAAGACAGAGTGAGACTTGGAATATCAATGCTAAGTGAACATTTTTCTGAGTTTCTGAGTACCATTATGTCAAGTGGGGAGTAATCTTGAGGGCGCTAGACTTGAAATCTTTGCGCTTGTAAATATAACTGATTTTTAAAGGAACTGTAGCACCCAATAATGTTTACATTTTCTGAAAAGCCTGAAAATGTCAAATAAAATTGCACTTAACCTGATCAAAATGTAATAAAGCCCAATAAGGTTATAAAAATATCTTGATATTATAATCACATTTCTTCTCTTCCTGTCTTTACCACATAATTTTAGAAAAAAATTATATTGTGCTCTTGGCTCTTCTGAGCCAGTAGGTGGCAAAATTGAGGAAATAGGCAGTACCAAAAAATTATATGGAAGTTAAAGCAGTGATTCAAACTTTTTTGGTCAGGCCCCCCTTTGAAGTGACTATATGAACATTTTTAATGAAATTAATCACTTTTTATTGTCTATTTGGGAACGGGTTGTAAACTCACATAAAAATGAACCATTTGCCTGCTTTGTTGGTCCCTCGGTACAGCCACCAAGCCGATGCAAGGCTTGTTGTTGGCTTCATAACGATCAATTTAGATTTATCATTTTACCAGGTACACAGCTTCTTCACCGGTCTCAGTCGCCAGAACTTATAATGTACAATTCGGTATTGCATTGGATATCAATGTAAAGTTGTCACAGTTTTTGGTCTGTTTGGGGTTTTCTGTCAGTTTACTATTTTATTTAGAAGTTGTCTGTTTCTGGCGCTTGTCTCCTGTTGTCTGATAATCCTGATGTGTTTCACCTGGTGTTTCTCCCTCCCCCTGCTCATGTGTGTCTGCATATATTGTCTGAGTTTAGTTCAGTCAGGATCATTGTTGTCCATGATGTGTGTTTCCTACCCCCAACACTGCCTGCTTGTTTGTTGTGTCTGTGGATTTATGTTTCACTATTTTGGATCATTGTTTGTTTTGTTTGTCAGTAGACTTATTTTTTGTTACCTTGTGGATTACTTTGCTTATTGAAAAAAAATGGCTTTGTTTGGACTCCTTATTTGTTTGGAGTGTTTGGATTTAACCACAAGAGAGTGAATATTTTTACATTTTTCTAACACAAACACACACACGCTTTAATTACTTCACGCTTTAATTACTTGTTTAATGAAATGTATGGGGTTGATTGTTCTTATGTAGTTTGTATGATGCTTTGGCAATATTGTTGTTACACCTTCATGCCAATAAAGCTAATTTGAAGTGAACTCAGTGTGTGTGCTTTATGTTCATTAATGAATCAGTTTAATTTATTCTGTTGAAGTGTGTGCTTCTGGCTGACTCAAGCTGATAAAAACATTACTGTAACGTTGCAGTGGGAGTTTACTTGAGTTTCCAGCATTTTTTGTGATGCCGTCTCTGGCACCCGAACGGCTTTTCATTCAGAACCACTTCTGCTTGGATTAGAATCCACTTCATTGTCATTATGCAGAGAACGGGTGCATAGCTAAGAAAATGCAATTAGCATCCAGCCAGAAGTGCAGAAATATATTGTTTTAACAGATGAGTGCTGTTATGCTATATCTTACAATATGTAAAGTTGAGTTACACAGATATTATACAGTATAAAATAAAAATGGATAGAACAGAAGTTAAAGAATGGAGAGTGCAAAAGTATGGATGTATGTATAGTATGAACTGTAATCTATCTGTATTGTAAGTATGTATAACAATGTATATACATTAGGTTATACAGTTGGTCAATGTACAGTAACACCATTAAACAGTGTAGGGGTTTGGTCCATGCAGAAATATGGTCACTACCTAAGTTACATGCCTAGCTGTTGCAAGAAATAAATATGCAAGATTCCTCATCAGCGGTGGTTAAAAAGTGGGATCTGTCAAGAATAATATCCTAGTTGTATAACAACCTAAATAACACACTACTAATGACAATTAAATAGTCTGGCTGTCAGACGGGAGCCGGCTCCCATGGTTCACTTCAAAGAGCTGGCTCATGTTGCCTACTGTGCCGCGAACGAGACGGGGTCAGTCCTGTTTTGACTCACTCATTATTTAAAGCATGCCCACGAGCACACCCTTGGGAAGGTAGCTGTTGCAATCTGAAACCTCACCGCTAGAGGCCACTGAAAATTACACCTGGCACCTTTAAAACTAGAAAATTTGTGATTGGATCTCCCCAACATAATCCATGGGGGTGCAACTGAGTAAAAGTCAAAACGTTTCTACTTTTAAATGTACTTTACTATTAAATTAACTATTAAACTTTTTTCTTGACTTCAAATTCAATTTGAAACACATTTTGAATGTGTACATTTCATAGGATCAGGCAAGGTAAAGGAGACCTTCATTCAAAAAGAATCACTGTTGACTCAGATGGAAAAGAACATTTAGTGGAGATTGAATCCACTGCTTTATGTTTGCTTGTGTGCTTCTGCTTTGCTTTTTTTCCTGCTTTAATACCTTCTGCAGTACATGCTGCTACTATCATTCTTTTCCTTTTGAAGACTCTCTTTAAGGGAGGTGCTGTACTTGACTTTCTGTTCCATCTACTCTAAATCTTTCTGCCTCAAAAACATGGTTAAAGATGAGAGTGAGATTTTCAGGCTAGAGTTGTCCTCTGCTTTTCCTGCTCTCTTTATCCCTTCCACCCTGTCTTAAACGGAGAAAATAAAACCATTACTTTTTTTCTTTTCTTTTTATGCCATCCTCATAACTTTCTTCTTTGCCTCTCCTCCTTGCTTGGTTTTGTTTCTTCCACAACAATATTCTATTTTGTCCTGAATGGACCCCTGGGTGAGTGCTCCGTCTTCTTCTGGTCGTTAGTGAAGCCACTGAGTGGTTGAATAAGAATATTTGTTAAGCCATTGTGCTCCTACTGAGAGTAAGAAGACTTCCTTTATAATCTTAAAAGTCTATCTTCAGGCCATCTTCACTGTGTATACTTCAACCATGAGCTAGGCTTATTTAATCAGTTCCTTGGTATCCTATGTTTATTTTGGAAGCTCTTCATAGTCCTTTGGACTCCTTATGAGACTGACAGCCTCTTTGTGAACCACGGCCGCTGGTTTTGTTGCTCTTTTCTTCTTGTCAGTGATATGACCCTCCTGACTGACCTTATTTCTTCCTCAGGTCATGACTATAACCATAGAGCCATACATAATGAAGGTATTTGAGAGCAACATAAAACAACAAAGGTTTAGCTTAAACTACAGTCCCTGCACCAACCCAGGTACATGAGTCTACAAACGACTGTCACACTGGGTTCATGGTGAACTGCAGCCAAACAGATACTTTTTATACACTTCAATATTTCCAGCTAGATTAGTCTTTGAAATAAAAGGTTAAGAAAACTCCAATTCATTTTTTAAGGGCATTACATAATGTTGGATGTTTTTATTACAATGGGAAAACATTATTTTTTTAATCTTATGTATATTAAACTGCATACTTGTTCTTGCTGAATGGTAAACGATTCTGCATATTATATTTTTTATAAAATACATGTGGCCATGTGTTGAGGCTCAATTGAATGTGTATACTTTTTTTTTTACTAAAGGACATTAATAAGTCTCTACTTAAATTGATTCCTACTAAATAACGTTCCTGCCATGTACAAGTGCAGTGCAGATCCAAATACATACTGCTGGTTTGCTGCAGTGAACTGTGGTGAAGTGAAACATCCCAATGATGTTTCTTTCTCTCTCATTATAAACCACTTTGAACTGTGGAAGATCTTGAGTGTTACCTTTATTTCTTTTAGAAATAAAGTGTGTCATGATTGGAACCACACATCTTCTTTCTCTCCTGTTTTATTGCACACAAATATGGACAATCAGGCAGAGAAAGTGTCTGAACCGCATACAGTAATTGAACGACTGGACGAAGTTATATAAAGTTATTGGGTCCTTATATTTTGATTAATATGGTCATCCATCATCATGCATAAGGATATCGATAAAATTATGACAAAAATACAGGAAACATCATCAAACAATTAGGGCTCCTGTAAAGAACTCTTTTACTTTAAAGTGCGCTGTAAAGCTGCAGATGACCACTAGATGGAGGTGTCGGGCAACTCTGAACCTGTCCAGTCCTGACTCAGCGCACAAATCCACATACTGGATCCACACTGCACCTGTCTTCAGACACAGATGGACCAAACCACTTCAGCACCATGACATCTGATTCATATTGAGCTCTTCACAGTCATGTCGGCCTTGCCGATTCAGGAAATGCTGTTTCCTCAAAAGTTTGTGGAGCTGTAAAACAGTTTTTTATTATGTAGCCTGTAATGACTTTTACCTCCTATGGTATGGATCTGCTTATGATACTGAGAGCTTCCTTGTGAAGCCAGCTGGTAGTTTTGTTGCCTCTGTGTCATCCTCTTCTTCCCAAGGTCCTAACTCTCTCTCAGTGGGAGATGATTTCACAGGTTTCATTTTCAGGGTTTTGGTTGTCTGGAAGCTTCCTTTTCTGCTCTGATGTAACACCATAAAGCCACACAACCGTGTTTGAGAACAACACAAAACAACAAAGGTTTAACTAAAACTGCATTCCCTGTACCAACCCAGGTAGACGAGTCATCTACCTGTCACCATTTGGTGACACCAACATTTCAAAAAGAAATCTACAATCTGCAGTTTGAAGTCCGAGGTGTTGCTCTACAGACCTGTATTTCAGATGACAATTTACGTTGATAGATTATATATTGGACAGTTTTTGTTTCTTTCTTTCTTTCTTTAATTAGTTAGTAACAGTAAGTTTTATTATAGGCCAATTTGTCGGCTCGTATCCATTAACCAATGGAAAAGTACCCTAAGTAGTCCGGTGCCTCCCTCCCTTTTCCAAATGAACCTCATCCCCTCCCTGCACTGTAATTGCTGTGTTTGGGTCTATCCCGTGTCCCTGCCTCACCCCTACAGCCGTGTCCTCCCCGAGAGAAGCAGTGAACCCTCACACAGTCTCTCAACTCCGCCGGTCCCAGGCTGGTGCGTCCCGTTGCGAACAGCACCGCACACTTTCCAAAACTGCACACTTCACACGCGCGCTCCGGATTTCTCCAAACCTCAGGGCTACTGGAGGGAAAGAGAGCTACAACTTTACGAGTCAATATGTTTCATGTGTGGGTGAGAGAGGATCGGTGACAGGAAGACTCGGGGGAGTTATCAGGAACGAGGACGAGTCTTGGCTCCCCCACCCCTCAAGCAGTTTGCGCAAGGTGAAACAGCAGAGGCTTCTGTTGTGGCTGATTGGCCGGACGGCTACATGGATTTCTTCACCAGCTGTCACTTATGATGTTACATATTACTCTTTGAGCTCGTGTTAGTTGTTCCCTTCTTCACTTCCCTCCCAAACTTCAGCCAGTGGATCATTTTGAGAGCGACAGGATGGGATCGCAGACCGGGGCAGCTCCGCAGAAAAAGACGCTCCTGTGGTTCATTGTAGGTGAGTCTCTCACACTGTGGCTGCACTGACGTGTGTAACGTAGATATAAAAGGGTGGTTGACCTAAACTGTGACTTCTTTTTGGAAAATATCATTAGACAAATCAACAAACGTGACGAAATAGATTCCTCATGCATATGAGTTTGGAACAAATGCGTTAGGATGTAGGCTATTTATTGTGTTTATGGAGGCTTAATAAGCTGTGTAAACGAAGTTACCCCAAATTCACACCCAGAACCAAAGACATACGAATACCATTATTTTAACTCAGATCGGTGTACGACTAGTTACAGTGCAATGTTGTGCCATGAGCTCCTGTGTTTGTGTTACTTAATAATTATGTTTATCTTTAATAACTATTTATCCTGGTAAAAAAACCCAAAAAATAACGTTTATATCTCTCACACGTTATCTCTATATTAATTGCCTAACTTGTGGGTTTGTTATGGTATGAAATCAGATGTGTTACAGGATTAGTGGTAGTACCTGTCACCGTTTATGTTGTAGTATAAACTACAGAATCTTTGTTTAAACAGGAGCATAGCGCTGCTGGGAAGTGATAGATCAAAGTGCGAGGGAGACCACATGTTGGCTTCCTTACGTTTCTCCACAATCTAAAAATCTATATAATCATATCAAGAGACAGTAGAAAGTCAGTTAGTCCTGAATCTTTGCAACCAAGTGGGAGGTTTGTACAGCTATGTTTTACTAAGTGGATACAATTAGTGGATGATAGTAACAGTGATGTGTGTGACTTTGTGTATCTCCCTCTTTTGTTTAGAGTTATCTCTGTATTTGTTTCCATAGTTGGAGTTGCTTTCTCTTTTGTGTTTCTCTGTATCTGAATGTGAAGATAAACCATCTAATTTGCAAAAGACTGAATTTATTATTCTCTAAAAACCACAAAACAACACTCAACAACTCACTCACCAACTGGCTTCACAGCTCTATTATTATAATGATTTTAGTTTTTTCACAGGTAGGAAATCTGCTCAAACTAACCTGTTCAGTTGTTGTTGTTTTTTTTTTATGCCACCAGTGAAGTGAGAATAAGACTGGAGGTAACACTCTTCTCTTCTGTTATGGAATACATTTAGATGACTATACTGAAAATACACTTTATTTACAAATGAAAATCTGCTTAAAAACACAGGCTCACTTTAAAGTTGTGAGGCTGAAAACAATGCCATACACCTTTGATATGAACATAACATTACAGCGCCTAATTAACCAGTTCCGGCAATATTCAGTGTATTTAATTGATTCATTTTTATAGGTGCGTAGGCGCCTATAAATGTTAGATTATTATCAGGAGATTGCAATCATGCTTACTGTTAAGATATTTAATTTATTTAATTCAGTTAGTCTAGCTGAGCTGTAGGGAAGGTTTACTCAGTTTGAAGAGTTGAAAAGTTAAATATATTTGTAGCAGCAGCTTTTGTCATTCAGTCTAGAAAACAACAGCAGAAAAGAGGAATAAATCAGCAAAAAAAGATTGTATCCATTTGTTTGCAGACATGTTGGATTGTAATGTGTTACCCAAAAGTAGCTCTTTCTTAAATTCTACTAGGACAGAGCGATTAAAGGAAAATATCTAATTGCGCTTTTTCTGACTGGAATTAAACAAGCGTCATGACCTTTGTTCCCCATCTATGTCACCCATGAGTCTAATAAAGGCATTCAGCTTTAAAAAGAAAGCCTTTTTGCTTTTTACCAAGTATAATCACAAATGGAGATTAAAAAAAAATTAAATGAGGCATTTGCTTGTTGAGGTCCTTCCGTTGTTTTTTTAATAATAACCCAGTCAGTTGCTGAAAAGTCAAATTACAAGAGAACTTAGTCTATAGGAACATTTTAATTTAGCGATTTTATATATGTGGACTTTTGGACTTTTATTATATTTCTAAAATAATCATCACACACAGAAGTGGTATTTATTTATTCACAATAACTAGGTCTACATAAGCTGCCCATGTCACATCTGACAACGTTGTGATATCTGACTGACTGGCATTAGTGTCACAGACTGGCAGGTCAGGCTGATTCACATCTTGGAGGTCTTAAAGCTCGGGTAGGTAATTTATTTCAGAAGCATTTTTTGTTATATTTGTCAAAATTCTCTTTACATCCCAGCAGCAGTTAATAAATCAAATGCTCTGACAAAAAGATGAAAAACATTCAGTATCTGTGGCTGTTGCAGGACTGTCATAAGCTCAGCCAGTCATTTCATTCGGCTTACCTGCCTGTTTACCTGCCTACTGCCTACACGTGCGCACCCTGCCTGTGCAGTCACTGCGTATGAAAATAGGAGTGTGACTTCATGCTGCGCTTCGCAGTGCTGACTTAACTTGATGCATGATTGACTTAACATAAGGCATGCTAAAAATGTCGTGCGACTTTCGCTGGTGCTGCAAAACGTCACCATGTCACATGAAATTAAAACCTTGCGGGTTCAAGGCAGCTGCAGTTTTCTGAATCTGGAGACTGCAGTTGCTTTCCTCCGGCTGCACCAAGTGGGAACCACCTTTGTGACAACAATAAGAAATCTTACAAAACAGTTTAGTTCAGAGGTTTGTTACTGTAAAAGAAGTAATGCCTTTGTAGGTCATATATTCACTTTTTTTACAGTAGCCTTGGCATATTCTCAAGACTATGGTTCTCAATGAAAAAAGAAATAAAAAAATGTTATCTGCAGGTATACCATGAGTGATTACATTGAAATTATCTGCAACAAGAAAGGCAAATGCAATGAGATCAGTCATACACTCTACAGGAAGTAGAATGTGTCCAACCTGACGGCAGGTTTTTTGTACTCCATCCCTGCAGTTGCCGGCAGCTTATGTTTGACTATCAATTCAGCGAATCCAGCCGCAGTTGTCTCCAACGTGTTTCGGGGGAGTGGCTTTGGAGGGAGGCCTGAAGGGAGGGGTGGGATTTATTCAGTTGGATACTTTCAAAATTTAGCTGTCCCTACACTAGTTCTCCCACATTGCCTAACCAGCTTTAATTCAGGGCTTTTAAATTGGTCAACTCAAAACAACGTAGTGATTGTTGTTGTGCTCAGAAGTTGACAGCCAGCTGTCTGTCACTCTCTCAGTAACTAAGGACTTTGAGCTAGCTGTTAGCTGCTAGCTACCTACCTGTCTGAAAATGATGTGATGTGACCAGTTAGTGTAGATAGAAACTCACCATTGTGTTGCAAAATGATGCGCAGTGCTGCTTCTCTCTCTTGCATGCTGTTCTACATTCAACAGAGATATCTGTCAAACTACTTATGCAGCCTCTGTCTCTCTCTTTTTGGTCAAGTGTAGGACAGAATATACAACAACTTCATTTTGTAGTTTGACCAACATGTGAAACAGCTGTGTGTTGCAGGCTACATTTTCATTTAAGAGATAAAAATGTGAAAATATATTTGAAAAGTGAGACAATGTGCCCTCATGATGCCTTTATAAAGACATGCCTATCCCTGCATACAGCACTCTATTGGGGACTGTCATTATGTTGTGGTAAAAGGGTTAAAAAAAGTGGTATTTCATGATTGTGTATAAATAGTGATATTATTAATTTTCAATCTAAGGTTTATAATACAAGAAGATGTGGTTAAATGTTATTTGAAGATTATATTGCTATAGTCATGTAATCCATCAGGATGGTAATATGTAGTTTTTGTCTTTCTTCTTGGCTCGTACCGTGAACATGAGCATTATGGAGCCACTGTGTATCATCAATAAAGATTTTGTGGACCATCAGTTGAAGAGTTAAACCATCTTGTTTATTTGAACTGTACTACAATGCAAACCCCTTAGCTTAGAAAAAGTCAATGAACTGCATCAGTGATAATGAATATTTCAACTGCACTGAACAAACCCATTTGTATCAGCAAAGTGAGACGTCATTTCCACCTCCTGTACACTAACAAACTAGATATAATGAGAGTTTGGCAGCGTGCTGTACATAGATTTTCTGACATTGCGTCAATTGTTCCTTTATTATGCATTGTCACTAATGTAAAATGTATGATAAGACCACTCAGATGATAATGACATGTAATGCTGGAAAAGCTCAGTGAGGGAGAGCTCGTCTTATTTGTCTTTCTATCTCTTTCTCTGCTGCTTGAACAAATACATTCACAGGGCTTCTAATTTTAGACTTTCCAGACATTCAGTTGACATGGGTTCATTTCCCAACCTCTAACACTAATGCTAACCACTAAATACTTTACCCTTTGCTGAACTGTAATGCGATCTCATCCCCTAACCCCAAACTAAGCTGTTAACATTGCAGAGTCATACAACAATCGGTGTCCTTGCTTTTAGTCGTTTTACAGTTACAGTTGTAACTATAAAACAGTTATACACTGAAAAAATAAAATAAAAACACATCTGCGCAGTTAAAATACGCACTGGAAAAACACTAAACTGCCGAATGAGCACACACACACACACACACATGCACACGCACACAGTGATGTTCTCTGACAAAGGTGTTCAGGTAAGCTTCCTCTGCTCTTTGCCCTTTGTTTCCTGGTACAAAGGCTCAATGTAGGTGTTCTATATTTACAGAGAGAAAGTTATGACTCATCACATCAGTACAAGGTTGCCTCGTTACTCTTTCACCACATTCCCATCTAAAACAGCAGCTTTCAAATCTCTGCTCTGAAAAATCACGTTTTCAAAAGCACTTAATTTCCCAAGAAGACTAAATAGTTATCCACATTCAGGGGGTTCATTTATCTATCTAGGACACTTTCATTCTGTCAGTTACTTACAAGCACTTCCAGAGACTGACAGCATGCTGTAATCAATAGAGCACAGATCTGATGCAAATCAAAATAACCTCTGCCATTCAAGTCATCAGAATCATTTGTGCCATGAGAGAAGCAATTTTTAATTTTCTATGCCAATTCTTCGACCAACAAGCACAGAATGGATAAGGGGAAAGGAGTCTTCACTCTCTCCCATAGATATGAAGGGCTTGGCACAGAAGGACCCTTTAATC